CTGCACTTGCTCTATTACTGTAGTACTATAGCGCCTTCAACTTGTATGACCGGCTGGGTGTTTAAGGTTAGCGATTTGTCGTATTTTCTGGCTTCATAGCAAATAAACAAATACAATTACTTTACTATGCAAGTAAAACAAATTTGTAATAATATTTATGTATTTAGGGTCCCTTCACAACATATGCTACAGGCCCCGCAATATCTTAATCCGGCACTGCCCCCCCCCCCCCCTCGACCTACGTGGTTCAAACGAAACCATTTAAAACAACACGGCTCGAACCGACACTGCCCCCCCCATCCCCCGCGCCCCACACTACACCTGTACCCCACCCCCCACGTGTTTGATTGGAATCGCGGCTTTTGTTTTCTCGCGCCGCTGGGGAGCGGAAGCTGTCAGAAGCAGAGCGCCGCGTTCAAACCACGCGGCGCCTCGCGCCCTGTCAGGGCGGGGCCAAAAATAGCGACTTCCCCCTCCTCCTCCATCTCCTCCACCTCGCTCCCTCCTCCACCTCCTCCACCTCGCTCCCTCCTCCACCTCCTCCACCTCCTCCACCTCGCTCTCTCCTCCTCCACCTCGCTCCCTCCTCCACCTTGCTCCTCCTCCAGAATGCACGTGAAGTCAGTGGCACGGCACGGCTCCGTTGGACAGTGGAAAAAAAATCTGTATACGGGATCCCATTGTCTAAAATAGTGGTTGTTTTTGTTTGGTAAGATCGTGTAAATATAAATGTGTCGTTAACTCGCCACCACCCGACATAGCGAATGAGTGAGGTTTGTCACGTAAACAACACGTGCCCAATTCGTTACTTAGTTGAGCACGCATCGGCGTGTTGGAGAGTGAACCCACTACAACATTGACAATTCGAGAACCGTGACCAACAACGACCAGCAGCATCAGGCGACAGCCAGAATTGTGGAGAAATCCTCCTCCTGCTTCGGTCTTAAATAGACGGGGGCATAAATGTCGTCACTAATGAGCCAAGCGTTATGTACAACATGTACATAATGCGTGTACATTATGCATGCACATTGCCTATGCTCCCATTGTGTATGTGCGTTGCGTGTGTTCATTATGTACGCACATTGCCTATGCTCCCGTTGTGTATGTGCGTTGCTTGTGTTCATTACGTACGCACATTGCCTATGCTCCCGAGGTGTATGTGCGTTGCGTGTGTTCATTATGTACGCACATTGCCTATGTTCCCGTTGTGTATGTGCGTTTCGTATGTTCATTATGTACGCACATGTTGTTGGTCAATTATGCATGTAGAGCATGCAAGTTCATCGCGTGGGTGACCTGTCAATTTTTACGACGCATTCACATCGACGCGATCTCACCCAACAACAACAACCACCACAACCACCACAACCTCTCTCCAGACACGGATCACATCGCTCGCGGCGCAATCCCAACAGTGGTGGGAGTCGCAGCCGGCAGCTAGAGAGATGGGGGGCGGTGATGGTAATTGGTGGTGGCGGTGGTAGTGGTGGTGGCGGCGGTGGTGGCTGTGGTGGTGGCAGTGGCGACGGTTGTGGTGGTGGTGGCGGTGGTAGTGGTGGTGGCGGCGGTGGTGGCTGTGGTGGTGGCGGTGGCGACGGTTGTGGTGGAGGTGGTGCTGGCGACGGTGGTGGTGGTGGCGGTGTTTCGCTGCCCTCTGCCGGTGCCGCGTTCGCCGGCCACAGCTGCAGCGCTCACCGCACTCACCCTCATCAACAATCCTCGTCATCGTCGTCGTAGCCAGGGATTTAGATTTGTCATCAAATGTTTTAAGCAGCCCACCAAACCCCCCCAAGCCACACCCCCCCTCCCCCCTCCGACACATGGAGGAGACGAGACAGGGTGGGGGAATTACTTTCCGGAGTACGGCCCCGGACGGCTCCGCGCGGCTATCGCTCCCAACCCGGCGACCCGAGATTGATTCCCTCTCGGGGGCCACCAACAGCAGTGGCGATTATCTGAACTGGCCCTGGGCCTCCCCCTACGTCGGCTGAGCCTCAAATGAGTACCTGGTTCTAGCGGGGTTAAACATCGACACCAGGGAGACAAAGGCGGCCGGGCGTGGTGCTGGGGACCCACGCCCTGGTGTGCCCGTGTCGGCCTTCATAGGTTCTGCTCGCTAACAACACTTGCCCCTACAGTATGCCAAGGCTATGTGGGAGATCTTTGTCTTTGCGTGAATGTGGGGAGCGGTGGCGCGCCCCAAGATCGATTCCCGCTCACGGCAACAATCAGTGGCGAACATTGTCCGCCTTTTAGCGTCCTCTGGTCTCACACCGTTTGAGATTAGGCTCAAAAGAAAGCTGTCTCTAGTTTGGACCAATCAGATTGAAAGACAATGCGTACATTATCAGAATATTTTTTTGTTTGCATTCTGACCACAAGCATTGTGGTTAATGCAGACATGATTCCTTGTAACGGTTTCAGTTTGGTGTTTTAATATCTTGACACAGCTGTTTTGTTGGCAGATAAAAGGGGAAAAACCTATCATCGGTGTACCTTTAGGCCAACCCCCCTCTTCCTGATGACGAACGCTTGTGTTGCGATCGAAGCGTCGTCGTCTTTTGTTATTTTCTTTGAACCTATCTACGTATTCAAAGAATATGAATTCCTGCAGTCACGAAAGCTTCAAGTCAAGAGTACCGTGCCGTCGTGTGTAGAAACATCGCCACTGATTGTGAACCTTCATAGGTGCTGCTCGCTAACAGCACTTGCCTCAACAGTCTGTTCAAGCTGTACGGGTGATCTTTGCCTTTTGCCCAATGACGAAATCCCCTCTTCTCACACCCACACTCACCCGTGAGTGACTTCATCTTCCAGGGCTCCTGCTGAAGTGCTCTCGCTCGGCTCCTCTCGTCAGCCGATACAATCCACTCAACCGCTACCCCACACTGCAACCAACTCGTGATAATTAGAATGTAATCAGCGCTAGATTCTCGTCCAATCGCTTTTTATCCCCCGTCACTGTTTTGCCACCACCGCCGCCACCACCACCAACACAAATATCTTCGTATCGACTTTAACAGACTGTAGGGGCAAGTGTTGTTAGCGAGCACCTATGAAGGCCGGCACGGCACACGAGGGGGTGGGTGGCCAGCACCACGCCCGGCCGCCTTTGTCACCCCAGTGGCGATGTTTTCACACCGCACCAGGTAATCGTTTGAGGCTGAGTCGACCTAGGGGAGGCCCAGGACCGGTTCAAATAATCGTTACCGGTGTTGGCCGTGAGCGGGAATCGAACTCGGGTCGCCGGGTTCGTAGCGCAGCGCGTAACTGCAACACCACTAACTACCATCATCACCATTTTCATCCCCACCTTCTTCGCCAACACCCACACCACAACCATCACCACGACCATACCCCCATCACTACCATCACCACCAACTACCATCATCCTCACCGTCATCAACTTCCTTCTCCGCCACGGCCATTCACTGCCACCATCACCGCCACCGCCACCACCAACACCGCCACCACCATCATCACCGCCACCACCACCATCACCGCCACCACCAGCACCGCCACCACCACCACCATCGCCGCCACCACTACCGCCACCGCTACCACCATCACCGCCATCACCACCATCACCCCCATCACCGCCTCCACCGCTACCATCACCAACACCACCAATGCCAGACTATGGCGAATGTCTCTCAACTGCCAAGTCGGATTTCGGTTGCCAAACGTCGTGACGCTGAATTGAAGCTGAAAATAGGAGGGCAGTTTTGTTGTTTCTTCTTATAAATCGCGACTCTTTAATTGTGCTGGAGGAATGCGATGAGCTATTTAGCTCTTTTTCTGTAAGGCAGTGTGGTTCTTAACCTTGAGCGCAGCCTTGCACACCCCTGTGATGTTAATAAATACATAGATTTAATTAAACAAAGTAGTTGTACTTGTGTGCCCCGGGTTTAATTGCTTTTTTTCGATGATTTACCGACTAACACACATCTGGCCATGTCTCGGACCCCCAGAACGGGAATCGTGCACCCCCCAGGGTGCAAGACCACTGCTGTCAGGGGGTGTAAGGTGGCCGACTCAGGGGGTGGAGGAGGCCGTGGGGGATAGTGGAATGAATAATAACAGTCGGTGAGAAACAAACTTGAAACCAGCGTTAACAGCCGCTTGCGTCCATCGTGTCTTCCGCCCCCAGATTTCACCGCCCGATGTCCCGTTGGACTTCTTTCGCACCGTGCATAGCAAACCGTGCTCATCGGTGGTGCGGGGGAAGGGCAACGCACTAAACACGGGGAGCAGTTGTCAAGAAACGAATTTCAATCTAGGCGATTTAAAAGTGTGTGTGGGGCTTCCTAATATCGGAGGGAAGAGCGTTCACCGACGACCGCAGCAACAGCAGCGCATGCGAAAGCGATAGAACGCTGACTGGCGAGACCGGTGACACTGCTGAGACTTGTGAGATGTGGCGACATCAGTGGCAACACTGGTGACACCAGTGAGATGAGAGTGGTGACACTGGCGAGACGAAATTGGTAAGATTGGCGACATTGGTGAGACCGGTGACACAGCTGAGACTTGTGAGATGTGGCGACATCAGTGGCAACACTGGTGACACCAGTGAGATGAGAGTGGTGACACTGGCGAGACGAAATTGGTAAGATTGGCGACATTGGTGAGACCGGTGAGAAGTGGCAACACTGGTGACACCAGCGAGATGAGAGTGGTGACACTGGTGAGACCGGTGAGACAAGGGTGCTGAGAACTGGTGACAACGGTGAGATGACTGCGACGACACTGGCGAGTACGGCGAGACCGGCGAGGCCGATGCGACGAACGTCCACGACCATCTCTTCAGAGCGCGCGAACCGACCAGACTTGCGCCGCTTACCACCACAGCAACGTTGAGGGCCCGGGCTCAACGATCGATTTAACACTGCAACACGAAATATATAAAAAACCACTAAAACAGAAGTGTCCGTCTTCGCTCGGTCACCTCTGTCCGGGAGGAAGCGGCTGCGGTGAGCATCACGAATCAAACAGAGCCGCCGATTCTCCTTGTCCAGTTCCTTTTTTTATTTATTCATTTGTTATTATTCGTCGTCACCACCGGGAGAAAAAACACAAACGCTGAACTTCATCGCCCAGCGGCAGCGAGGCCGAAGCGCTCGAGCAACAAACGTCTGTCGCCGCCGCCGCTGCCGCTGGGGGTGCCCTGCACGGTTGCGGCCGCATCCGTCCCGCGGGAGGTGTCCCCACTCCGATAGCTTCTTCGACAGCCGCCCCCCCCACCCCCAAACTGGAGCCTCTCCCACAGTTCTGTGTCTTGCTGCGGCATCCCCTGCGGTTCGTGCCACGTCCCGTCTTGGTCGACCGCAGGCGTGGCCGAGCCGGGCGGGCGGGCGAGCAGGGCGGGCGGCCCGGGCGGGCGGGCGGGTCGGGCTGGGCGGGCTGGGCGGGCTGGCTGGGCGGGCTGGCTGGGCGGGCTGGGCGGGCGAGCTGGGGTGCCGAGGTCCCCGCGTCGCCCCCCCACGCGAGGCTTCGTAGGAACGCGAACGGCGGCACAAAAACACTTGAGGGGCATCGTCGTTATCGTCGTCGTCACCGTCGTCATCGTAATCATCATCGCCGTGGTTGTCGTCGCCATGGTCGTCGTGGTCGCTGTCGTTAGTGCACAGAGTTCGTCGGTATATCAAAACCGGCAGCGGCCGCCTGCGTGCGCAGCAACCGAGATATTGCTTTCAAAAAAGATGGTGATGCTTTCCTTTTATTATTGTTTCATCATTTTGATAACTTAATAGGCGATAACCTCGGCAAATACTATATCAAACATCAAAACAATAAATCATAAAAAAGTAACGCAACAAATTAAATAGAATAGAGGCACGCCCTCCCCCCACCAGCTGGCGTTCAGCGTTAAAAGTCCATTTTTGGTGGCAGCCGGAAGGGGCTGGAGTCTTGAGGCTGGTAGGGGGGTGGGGGGGGGTCGGGGGGGGGGGGGTAGTCCGGTCCGTCGGTGGGTGGAGAGGATCGAGGTGGTTGAGGAGGAGGAGGAGCAGAGCGGGGTCAGAAGAACTGCCACTTGCCCAGCACGGTGTCTTTGATGGCGTCGACGTACTGCACGGGCACCCAGTAGACCCAGTAGTAGGAGGCCTCCGTGGGGCCCAGCTGGAGCGCCTGACGGGACAAACGGCGACACGCCCATCGACACGGGCGGCCCCAGCCAGGTCAGAGAGGCCACTCCGCGCCCGGAGCCACCCACGCGGGAGCCACCCACGCGGGAGCCACCCACGCGGAGCCACCCACGCGGGAGCCACCCACGCGGGAGCCACCCACGCGGGAGCCACCCACGCGGGAGCCACCCACGCGGGAGCCACCCACGCGGAGCCACCCACGCGGGAGCCACCCACGCGGGAGCCACCCACGCGGGAGCCACCCACGCTGACGCACGGGCCCGCACGCACGTCGGGGCCAACGTTCACAGGGAAGTCCCACGCGTTCTGACGCAAGTCAACAGCCGCAAAGGTGACCCTGCGACGCGACCCCGTGCTGCGGGCACGGTGGTGTGGTGCGACCCCATAGTACGATGTGACCCCATAGTACGGTGTGGTGTGACCCCATAGCATGGTGTGACCCCATTGTAGGGTGTGGTGTGACCCCATAGCATGGTGTGACCCCATTGTAGGGTGTGGTGTGACCCCATAGCATGGTGTGACCCCATGGTAGGGTGTGGTGTGACCCCATTGTAGGGTGTGGTGTGACCCCATTATACAGTGTGCTGTGTAGGCTGTGGTGAGACCCCGCGGTGTGATTCCTAGCCGATTGGCAGTGTGGTGCAAGGTGGTATGGTGTGACGCTGTGCTGTGGGGTGGTGTGGTGCAAGGTGGTGTGACGCTGTGTTGTGGGTGGTGCAAGGTGGTGTGACGCTGTGTTGTGGGATGGTGTGGTGCAAGGTGGTGTGGTGTGGCGCTGTGTTGTGGGGTGGTGCAAGGTGGTGTGTTGCTGTGTTGTGGGGTGGTGCAAGGTGGTGTGACGCTGTGTTGTGGGGTGGTGCAAGGTGGTGCGACGCTGTAGCGTGGGGTGGTGCAAAGTGGTGTGACGCTGTAGCGTGGTGTGGTGCAAGGTGGTGTGACGCTGTGTTGTGGGGTGGGTGGTGCAAGGTGGTGTGACGCTGTGGCGTGGTGTGGTGCAAGGTGGTGTGACGCTGTGTTGTGGGGTGGTGCAAGGTGGTGTGACGCTGTGTTGTGGGGTGGGTGGTGCAAGGTGGTGTGACGCTGTGGCGTGGTGTGGTGCAAGGTGGTGTGACGCTGTGTTGTGGGGTGGCGTGGTGCAAGGTGGTGTGATGCTGTGGCGTGGTGTGGTGCAAGGTGGTGTGACGCTGTGGCGTGGTGTGGTGCAAGGTGGTGTGACGCTGTGTTGTGGGGTGGCGTGGTGCAAGGTGGTGTGACGCTGTGGCGTGGTGTGCAAGGTGGTGTGACGCTGTGTTGTGGGGTGGGTGGTGCAAGGTGGCGTGATGTGACCCCAATGTGTGGTGTGGTGTAACCCCCCCGCGGCATGGAGGGGGGGGGGGGGTGGGGGTGGTGTGGCCGTGCTGCGCACCATCATGTGGTAATCCTCGTGCCCCTCGATCGGCTCGCTCACCACGTTCTTGATCGATCCCATCGGCAGCTTCTCCGTGCGCTCTGCGGCCACACGGGGAGGGGGGGGGGGGGGCGAGGCGGGGAGTCCGTTAGACATGGGGAACAACAGGAGGGCCCAGTGGGGGGGGGAGAGCAACAGAGCCAGGGAACAGCAGCGGGACGGCAGGGAAACAGAGCGCCGGCAGGGGAAGGGGCGGAAGAAACTGGCAGACGCGGCACACAGAGGACCGCACGCTGTCCAGCCGGGCAAAAACATCAATCGGTTGGTTCGCACAGGGAACAGGAGGGCACAGGGCACGCAGAGACAGGCACGCGGAATACGCGGAACGAGCGGAACGAGTGGAACACGCAGCCGGGGGAATGGGGAGCTCGGTGCCGAAGACGACAGTACGGTGGCCACCGGGGGCGGGTTCGTGACGCACCAAGGTCCCCTCTGAGTGAAGAGCCGATGATTGCAATGCCGGCCACTTCTAACGACGCACGCCCCACCCCCCTCTCCCGATTGAGCTCGGCCAGAGCAGAAGGAGAAGGCTCACGGCACCGGGAGGGGCGCGGCATCCTCCTCCTCCTCCTCCTCCCCACGGCCGCCGCGAGTCGAAAGGCCAGGGAGGCGATCATTCCGTCAGCGAAAACAGAAGGTTACCGGGGCGGCCAGTCCGTCGCCATGGCAGCCGCGAGGCGCGTTGAGGTGCCCGAGGCCAATTAGCGGAGAGAAGCAGGCAGCGCTGTCAGCGGCGTGCGTGCGCGCTAATTAGGGGGCACGCACTTACCGACACGTGGCGTTGGTGCGGAGAGACCCGATGTGACGCTGTCTCAAGGTGTGTCAGGATGCGTCACCGGGTGTCACAGGGTGTCATGGGGTGTGGCAGCGTGTCACTGGGTCAAACGGTGCATCTCGGCGTGTCGCAGCGTGTCACGGCGTGTGATGGCAGTGTCACATGGTGTCACGCCTGTGGGGACATCCGTGCCATGACCAGTCTTCTTCTTCTGCGCGAAGCTTCCTGCTCACCCCCCCTCCCACCCCCATGAGCTGCCCCCTTCCCCTCACCCTCCCCTCACCCCTCACTGAGCTGCCCCCCCCTCCCCCCCCGTGAGGTGAGGCCTCGGAGAGTCTGCCCGGCAAGCACCTTTGGGGCACCGCAGTGACGAGATGTTAACTACTTCGCCTGGTTGAAGGTCATGGGTTTGATCCCGACCCTGACGCCTGTATAGTTTGCGTGTCTCTCTCACCATGGTGGCGTGTATCTTTCTCCGTGTCCTCTGGTTTTTCCCACCAAATTTAAATCAACACGCTATCATTTGAGCTATCATTTGTGGCCAGGTCGCTTCTGAAAAAGAGCTATATCACCTGGTGTAATAAAAAAACAAAAACAGTTTTATTGTTTTGTAAAATTGTACCTTTCGTGCCGATCCACAGCTGGTCCTGCTCCAGCTTGAACGTGAGCCGCACCTTCCCCCCGGATTTGTTAAACATCCCGGACAGCGGCACGGACGGCAGCCGCTCCTGCACGCGGGGACACGGGGACATGGGGACGTGAGAACACGGGGACACGGAGACACGGAGACACGGGGACGTGAGGACACGGAGACACGGGGACGTGAGGACACGGAGACACGGAGACACGGGGACGTGGGGACACGGGGACACGGGGACGTGAGGACACGGAGACGTGGGGACACGGGGACGTGGGGACACGGGGACACGGAGACATGGGGACGGGGAAGACACGGGGACGTGAAGACACGGGGACACCAGCACACGGGGACGTGAAGACACAATACTGAGACATGGGGATACCAGGACATAGGGACACAAAGACACTGGGACACGAAGACACGAGGAAACAGGCACACCAGGTTACGGGGACACCAGGATATGGGGACACGGAGACACGAAAATACAGGAACATGGAAACAGGGAGACGCAGGGACATCAAGACACGGGGACACCAAGACACGGGGACGTGAGGACATGGGGACACAGGACTGTGGAGACACGAGGACAGAGGGACATCAGGACATGGAGAAATGAAGCCATAGGGACACAGAGACATGGAGATACGGGGGTAAACAACACAGGGACACTGGAACAAATGCGAGCTGTGTGATTGGGAGGAAGGGTAAAGCGTGCCATCTAGTGGTGGTGTTTGGCATCACCACCAGGGGTGGGGGCAGTGTCCCGGCTCATAACAATGAGTAACAGGGAAGGGGTGGGCGTCGGTGGATTATTGCGCCCATCTGTGCAGAGTTTAGAGCGTTATCCCTTGAAGCAAGCGGGATTACTCGGGGATTCACCCAGGCCCCCCGACGTGGCAAAGTCCAAAAACGCTCGCCAACAGAATTGGCCGGGCACCGATAATACGGTCGGTGGAGTGGGGGGGAGGGGCGGGGGGCTCGTGAACAACGATTACCGGAGAATCGGTGCAGGTGATTTTTTTGTCCCTGACCAAGTGAACCGCGCATGTGTTGTCCTTCACATTCTTTCGTCCGATTCTCAGATGAGAGTCGGAGAAGGAGGGGAGTGGGCAATAAAAGCGTGGAAGGAGGGGAGTGAGAGGGGAAAGTAGCGAGCGACAGAGCAGTGGCCAAAGTAGAAGGGGCGGGTTCAGTAAGAGAGGGGAGAGCATGACAGGTAAGGGTTGAGGCGAGTGCTCACCATGGTACCCTTGATGGCCGGCATGATGTCGTCAGGTTTGCCCTTGTCCAGAACTTTCCTGTGTTGCTGCGAAGACAGGAAGCGGTGGGGGTGGGACGAGGATCACAACCCAAAGAGCACCCAACGAGGGGATTGGAGTGTGACGCGGTGAAGGTCAGGTGAGGGTCAGCCAAGCAACGGATTCCCAAGAGACGTTTCGGAGTTCAGCCTTTCAGCGGCTGCCAATCGTCAGCGACCAGTGGCTAAATAATTTTTTTTTCTAAAATCCGCAAATTCTAAATGTTCTGCCGTTAATGGCTGCGGTGCTTTCGTTGCTCAAGGTTCCTAAACTTTTAGGGCTCAAAAAAATGTGCAAGCAATGGTTCCAGTACCTCTACTGTTCACGGTTCTGGAACTTTCTCTGGTCACGGCTCTAGAACTTTTGCTGCTCACGGGGTCATGGTTCTAGCACTTGCACAGATCACAGCGATGCAACCTCTGCGGCTCAGTGCTGACCGAGCAGTCAGAGGTTAAACTTCATAGAAATGAAGACGCTGCACCAACGCAATCGTAGCTTGGGTGACGGTTGTAGTCGTGGTATATATATATTGAACTTCTTTCGTACCATACATAGCCACCCGTGCAAATCGCAGGTGCGGGCGAAGGGCAAATTAAACACAAAAAGCAGTTCTAAAGAAATTCGCTTTCAATCTAGACTTTAAAGTGCATAGCTCCAGTGGCTTCCTAATATCGGAAGCAAGAACGTTCCAGACGGCCACAGAAGCGCATCCGAAAGCGCGCGATGCGGTGACCATCTTTGTTCGATGGCTATCCAAAAGCCGCTGCCGTGAGAATGATCGGAGTTCGCGTGATGACGGTTTGTGCTCCTTGACGAGATCAGTGAGGTTCATACGTGGAAAGCACTTTGCGTGCAATGAACGCCACCTTGCAAATGTATTAAGTATCCGTTCGGCAATCGGGAGCCAAAGCAGCTTGGCGAGCACTGGACATAGACACGGTCGGACCTTGCAGCACCCGTCACGACACACGTGCCAGGGAATTTTGTACACGCTGCAGGCTTGAAGGTGGTGGTAGTGGAAGTGGGGTTGGCGGGGGGGGGGGGTAGGGGGAGGGGTAGGGGGGGGCACCTTCTGCCGGCAGAGCGGCTCCTTCTTGGGCTCGTCGGCCCGCGTCTCCTGCGCCACCACCTCCTTGGGCGCGTTGACGGCGAGGACGTCGGTCAGCGTCGAGCCGACCACCATGAACTTGGCTCCACTCGTCACCTTCATGTCACGCAGCGTGCGCTCCTCCCGCACCAGCCCCTTGAACATCACCTTCTGCATCGCCGGCGGGACGCCTGGAGACAAACGCGCGCGCACGCACGGGAACGAGTGTAACCGAACGAGTGCAACCCTCTGGGTCGTTAGACGCAGCAGGAAGTATCGGAGAGTAAGACGCAACCTTTGGGTGATTTTGAAGAGAAATTATACCTCAACTCTCCGACATGAACGCGACCTCTATAATAATGGTAAGTGGTTTTATTATATCGCAAACTCTCGCATCCACAGTGCTGGGTTAAACCACCAAACACTACCCCCTACCCTACCCATACTCTCCCTAAGCCTTAACCAACAAACCACTACCCAATGCTGTATTCACACGAACCACCCAGCTCCTACGCCTAAGCACACAAACTATCCTGGTCCGAGCACTCGTCTTACCCCTACCACTATCCACACCAACCGCCCCGTAGCCGACCATCCCGTACCCAAATCCACACCAAGTCAACCTGGCTCGAGCACGACCCCAGCAGTATTCCACTGTGTTTCACACCTGTGAGAGTGTGGATCGTGTTCTTGAGGCTGGCGCCCGTGCTGTCCAGAGACACGGACACATCGAACTTGGCCTTGTTGTAAATGATTTTGATGTCAACCAGGTCGGGCGTGCACTCCCCTCCCTCCGCCGTGACCCCGTTGACGGCAGCGGGCGTCTCCGCGTCGGCGTTCCGCGAGCCCTCTCCTGGCGCGGACTCCGTGACCTCCTTACCGACGACCTCGCCTACGACCTCGCCGACGACCTCGCCGGCCACGCCGACCTCGCCGCGGGAGCCGCCCTCCCCCTCCGACGAGTTTGTGTCGCCGCTCAGCGCGTCGGCCTCTGTGTCTTGAGGCCGCAAGAAACGCGGGGAGGAGAGAGGGGGTGGGGGGGGGAACGACAGAGAGAGAGAGGAACGAGGTGAGAGAGATAGCAGAGAGAGAAGGGACGAGAAGACAGAAGGGTCAGACGAAAGAGTGGCGAGAAGGGAGATTGGAGAGAGTGTGGGTGGAGGGGGGATTAAGGGGGAAGAGTGCTGAGAGGGGAAAGTGGGGAAAGCGTGCAGAGTGTAGAGTGGAGATGAGTAGAGAAAGGGAAAAAGAGGCCATCACTGGGGGAAGCAGCGTGGAAGCAGCCTGACACATGAGCAGCACAGCGCCTGGGTCCTGCTCTACCCTTGGTCACCGGGATTCCTGGATTGTGACCCCCTCCATGACCCCCTCCGTGATCTCAGGCCTACCCCCTCGTCCCTCTCTTACCCGTCTTATAGGGCCCACGAGGTCCCACTCCCCCTCGAGAGTGCCACCTCCTCCACCTCCCCCCCATGACTTGCCATTTTCATACAAGCCGATATCCAACTTCGCTTCGTGACGATTTCCGCGCGATCCCATCGCCAACTGTTTCGCAATTCGGCTGGAATGTCGCTTTTGTTGTTGTTGTTGTACCGCGATTGCTTTTCTGTTGCGCATGAAGATTGATTCAAACACAGCGCAAATTGAAACTGCAATTCACTCACTCGGCATAGGCCCGACCCACGGGCCCGTAAGGGTCTTCTTAAACACGGAGAATACACGAACGCGGCATTTTAATCATTCCAAACCGCTACGATAACGATATGTAAACCGCCAGGCAGTCAATCCCACGAGGAAACAAGTTTGCAGAGAAGTGCTTATTGCACTTGGGTTTCTTTAAACAAAACAAACTAAAACAAAATTTCGGCCACAACGCAAGTAGCCGTCTTCAGGTGAAGACGGCCAAGAAGATGAAACTAAAACAAAGTTTCTAATCACGTTCGTTAATTCCGCAAACACGTCAGCACCTCGCGTATTTCAGATACAAACGCGCGACGATAACCCACGACATCCAGATGTCTCGAGCGAGGGACGACACGATTATCGTGGACTTTACGTCGCAGTAATATCGCCACATCGCGGCGAGGGGGAGTCAACAACGTTTCAAAACGGGACCAAGATGACATCGCAAGCACCACCACCCCCCCTGCCGGCGAAGATCACGACTAGCCCGGTCCCACGACTAGCCCGGTCCCACGACTAGCCCGGTCCCACGACTAGCCCGGTCCCACGACGAGCCCGGTCCCACGATGAGCCCGGTCCCACGACTAGCCCGGTCCCACGACTAGCCCGGTCCCACGACGAGCCCGGTCCCACGACTAGCCCGGTCCCACGACTAGCCCGGTCCCACGACGAGCCCGGTCCCACGACTAGCCCGGTCCCACGACTAGCCCGGTCCCACGACTAGCCCGGTCCCACGACGAGCCCGGTCCCACGACTAGCCCGGTCCCACGACTAGCCCGGTCCCACGACTAGCCCGGTCCCACGACGAGCCCGGTCCCACGACTAGCCCGGTCCCACGACTAGCCCGAGAAGAAGGGGGGGAGGTCCCCGCAGAATCCCGAGAAGGGCCCCCCCCAGAACCCCGAGAAAGGCCCCCCCCCAGAACCCCGAGAAGGGCCCCCCCCCCCAGAACCCCGAGGTTCCCCGTTCCAGTTGTTAAGTCAGCGGTGGTCACCAACAGCGCAGTAGAAGTAGCAGCAAGCAGCGGCAGGCCCACGAGAAACCACGGAACGTGTGACGAGACCCGAGGGGGCACGGGGCCCCGTGGCCGGAGTAGCGGCGTGAGGGGGGGCGGCGTGGGGGGGCGGCGTGGGGGGGGGCGGCGTGGGGGGGGGCGGCGTGGGGGGGGGGCGGCGTGGGGGGGGGGGCGGCGTGGGGGGGGGGCGGCGTGGGGGGGCGGCGTGGGGGGGGGGCGGCGTGGGGGGGGGGCGGCGTGGGGGGGGGCGGCGTGGGGGGGGGCGGCGTGAGGGGGGGCGGCGTGGGGGGCGGCGTGGGGGGGCGGCGTGGGGGGGGGCGGCGTGGGGCGGCGTGGGGGGGGGCGGCGTGGGGGGGGGGGGCGGCGTGGGGGGCGGCGTGGGGGGGGGGCGGCGTGGGGGGGGGGGCGGCGTGGGGGGGGGGCGGCGTGGGGGGGGGGGGCGGCGTGGGGGGGGGGCGGCGTGGGGGGGGGGGCGGCGTGGGGGGGGGGCGGCGTGGGGGGGGGGGGGCGGCGTGGGGGGGGGGGGCGGCGTGGGGGGGGGCGGCGTGGGGGGGGGGCGGCGTGGGGGGGGGGCGGCGTGGGGGGGGGGGCGGCGTGGGGGGGGGGCGGCGTGGGGGGGGGCGGCGTGGGGGGGGGGGCGGCGTGGGGGGGGGGGCGGCGTGGGGGGGGGGCGTGGGGGGGGGCGACCCCCGTAACCTGGGAGGCCGAAACAGCGCTCCCAGCGGGGGGCACCCTCTGGGTTCAACCCCGGGAACCAGAACCGAGACCCGTGACCAGATGATGGTCCCAGACGATGATCCCAGACGATGGTCCCAACCAGATGATGATCCCAACCAGATGATGATCTCAGACGATGATGATCCCAACCAGATGATGATCTCAGACGATGATGATCCCAACCAGATGATGATCCCAACCAGATGATGATCCCAACCAAACGATGATCCCAACCAGATGATGATCCCAACCAAACGATGATCCCAACCAAACGATGATCCCAACCAGATGATGATCCCAGACGATGATGATCCCAACCAGATGATGATCCCAACCAGATGATGATCCCAACCAAACGATGATCCCAACCAGACTGATGATCGCCTGATCCCTAAGACATAGAACCAAGGAACCAGATACCGGTGGGAGGGATGGGGAGCCAGGGGGGGGGGGGGACCTGTTGGCCCTGCGACCAGGGGACCCCGGGGGACCCCGGTGGCACCACGGGGACCCCGGGGGGACCACGGGGACCCCGGGACCAGCTGCTGGCCCCACGACCCCCTCACTCACCGTGCGTAGCCGCCATCACGCAGCGGGGGATTGTGGGTAGCGCACGTGACGTCTCCTCAGGACTCGCGCATGGCTGCGTCGGCTTTCTGCTCTACCCCCCCCCCACCACCACCACCACCTCCTCCTCCTCCTCCCCGTGTCGTCCACAGCGTTGTCTTCCGCGTCCGCCTCTGTCTGTGCCTCTGTCTCTCTGTCTGTGTCTGCCTGCCCGCCACGATGTCACCGCTCCGTGCCGGCTGCTGAGGGAACCCAGAAGCGGCCGCGCGACTGTCGGAAGTGACGTCAGATCCTCCCCCCCCCTCCCCCTCAACGGTGACGTCACGCTCCCACGCGTGACATGGCACTCTCGCGGTGACGTCACGGCGCGGCTGTGTAAACAAGTGGTTGCAGTGGGCTACGAAACGTCGCCTGGTGTATGCATCTTTTAAGACCGCACTGTTGTTGACCAACGTGATTTGTTGTTGTTGTTGTTGTTGGTTAAAGTGGAATTTTTGAAATTAAAAAAAATTATCCGTGAACTTTTTCACGCTTTTAAAAATTATGCGCAACGGTATTTTTAGACGTTTCGTGTCACGGGGCAATGGCAGTTACACCGCAAATGTGTTTTGTTGTTGCTAAACAATCGCCTCACGTTTCGTCGCAATGACATGGCACTATTAAGGTGACATCATAGCCCCGAGAGAGAAGCAGCGGTGCAGCGATGACGTCACCGCGCGCATTGACACGACTCTCTTGGTGATGTCACGAGGAACCAAATCGTCAGATGACGTCACGAGATTGGAAGTCAGACGATTCGATGATGCTGAAGCTACGTTGGCAGTGGCGCAGAAGCACAAATAACAACAATAACAACAACAACACTCAACATACTTTACGTTTTGGAGTAAACGACCCTTCTTCGTGTGCTGCCGAACGTGTGTTTATTTCACGTGGCTGTTTAACGCGTTACGGGCCGTCACATTACAATCAAATGACGTCATTTCCAAAAAAATTGTTACATGGTCGATCTTTCGCAAAGGTGAAGCGACAAAACTATTGTTAAATTAAAGTTGTGCCGATTGTGGCCTCCCCCTCAACCAAACCGGATCAAACTCCAGTAAACGTGCCACGACGTTGGGCCCCGACCCTGGCAGGTTGGTTGTGAGACCCTTACACACCAACGTTGGCTCAAAACTTTCCCGGTTTGTTGTGTGGGTGGGTGTGTGGGTGGGTGAGTGGGTGAGTGAGTGAGTGGGTGAGTGGGTGGGTGTGGGGTGGGTGAGTGGGTGGGGAGTAGGTGGGGAGTGGGTGGGTGTGTGGGTGGGTGAGTGGGTGGATGGGTGGCTGGGTGGGTGCGTGGGTGGGTGAGTGGGTGTGTGGGTGGGTGGGTGAGTGGGTGGTGATAGTGGGTGGTGGGTGGTGATTGGGTGATGAGTGAGTGGGGTGTGTGGGTGTGAGTGGGGTGTGGGTGGGTGAGTGGGTGGGTAGTAGGTGGGTGCCGTGGGTTGGGTGTGTGGGTGGTGAGTGGGTGGGTGGGTGTGTGGTGGGTGTGTGGGTGGGTGAGTGGTGGTGTGGGTGTGTGGTGGGTGAAGTGGGTGGGTGAGTGGTGGGTGTGTGGGTGGGTGGGTTTGTGGTGAGTGGTGTGGGTGAGGGGTGGGTGTGTGGGTGGTGAGGTGTGTGGTGAGTGTGGGTGTTGGGTGAGTGGGTGGGTGAGTGGGTGGGTGTGTGAGTGGGTGGGTGAGTGGGTGTGTGGGTGGGTGTGTGGGTGTGCGAGTGGGTGTGTGGGTGAGTGGGTGGGTGAGTGGGTGGGTGTGTGAGTGGGTGGGTGTGTGGGTGGGTGAGTGGGTGGGTGTGTGGGTGTGGGTGTGTGAGTGGGTGGGTGTGTGGGTGGGTGTGTGGGTGGGTGAGTGAGTGGGTGGGTGGGTGAGTGGGTGGGTGTGTGGGTGGGTGAGTGGGTGAGTGGGTGTGTGAGTGGGTGTGTGAGTGGGTGGGTGAGTGGGTGAGTGGGTGGGTGTGTGTGTGGGTGGGTGAGTGGGTGTGTGGGTGGGTGAGTGGGTGTGTGGGTGGGTGTGTGGGTGAGTGGTGTGTGGGTGGGTGGGTGAGTGGGTGGGTGAGTGGGTGAGTAGGTGAGTGGGTGTGTGGGTGGATGAGTGGGTGAGTGGGTGTGTGGGTGGGTGAGCGGGTGAGTAGGTGGGTGGGTGAGTGGGTGTGTGGGTGGGTGAGCGGGTGAGTAGGTGGGTGGGTGAGTGGGTAGATTAATCGAAGCAGAGAGACGCAATCGCCTTTTTTAACCTGTCGTCGTCTTCCGTACTGCTAATTAAATATTTAACGAGGACAAACGCGTGTTGGGAAGTTTTAAAATAATTTTTTTTTAAACCTATCAACTATTTTTTTTATTCTACCAGGTGAGGCCCACTGTGATCTGTCGCTGTGGTTTTCTCAGAAGCCACCTGGTCATAAGTAATGGCCCAATTTAAAAGGGCTTATCATCACGTGGACGTTATTCACGTGGCATTGCGGCTATTTAAATATCGAGGGGTGGTTTTTTTTCCACCAAATTCTAAAGAAATGGCTCTTCTTGTTATTTCGGTTGCCGACCCCTGGCCTAGCCATATGAAAGCATCCAGCAGTACAAGTCGTGCTGCAATAAACTTCTCGGCAGTAATGGATTCTCGCCACGCGAACACAGGTGCTGATAATACAGGTAGGAACAACAGGTTCCATACTGCCCACCAGGGAGTATTTGTCTGTCGTGCATAGGGGGAGGGTGGGGGTGGGAGGGGTGGGGCTGGGTGGGGAGGGTGGAACCTACACACTACACTTATACAGGTAGGAACAACAGGTTCCACACTGCCCACCAGGGATTATTTGTCTATCTGGCTGTCGTGCACGAATGCGCTGTCCAACCAAGTTCCTACCTGCCCACTCCGAAGGAGCGTGTGGACGTGTTTCCCAGGATGTCCGCGTCAAAGGCTGGACAGGTGGAAACTCAAACCTCGAGTGTGTTCATTTACTCGATTGACCGTGGAGATTAGTTCCAGTTTGTTGTCGGGAGGGGGCAGTGCAGCACAATCGATGGCCCTCTGGCTGCATGCGGAGATTCAACATTCACGTCCATGTGGGTTTCTACGAGTATGGGTCTCTGTGGGTCTAAATGGGTATCTACGGGAATGGGTCCCTCCGACTAACATTACCCATAGACTCAACACTGCCCATAGACTCAAGATTTCCGACATTATGAAGTCACTGGAGCTATATGCACCTTTTAATCATCTTGATTGAAGTTTAGTTTTTAGTGTGTCCTTCCCCCCCCACCGCCGCACCTTCGATTAGCACGGTTGGCTGCCACGTACGGTGCGAAGGAAGTTCAACGTACACTCAATCTTCCTCTTCTGTGCCAGCCCGATCAGCCAGCTGCATACACTTGGCAGTGATTTGTCTCCCATCGCCCCCTCGAGTCTCCCGACTTCTCCGAGGACATGCGCCTCCATTGGTGGCCCAAGCCGGCGCTTGGCAACTCCACATTCCTACGGCAGGAACGGGTTGTCTCCAAAGAGCAACGCTGAAAACTAATTTCTTCAGAACTGCTTTTTTGTGCCGTCCTTCGATTGGCACGGTTGGCTGCCACGTGCGCAAAAAAAATTCAACGTGCGTGCAAGCGAGCGACCGTTGACTTTCCGTGAATTGGCACCCGTTTGAAGGACCGCGGAGGACGATGATGGCGAGGCCGACGCGCAGCACACGCACGAGACGGGAGGCCACGCGGTGTGCGCAGCACGGCGACTTTATTGAGGCTGCCGCGCGGGTCGCGGCGCTGTGCTCGTCGGAGCCGCTTCCAAAATCTCGCCGCACACAATTCTCGCAGTCGGGAGGAAATGGGCAGTTTCTCGCCACGATTTGGCGGAAAAGTTGCCCAAGTGGTTGCTACTTGTCCCACGGAGCTTTGGCTGAAACCGTGTCGGACGACACACAAATACGAACAGTGGCATTGCGTGGTTGGCGTGGGCCCTGGTGCTAGGAATGAAATGCATGTACGAATGTCGAACTTTTTTCACACCATACGTAGCGAACCGTGCTAATAGGTGCGGATGGACCCCCAACCACTCCACCCACACCCCCACCCCACCACTCTACCCCCGGGGCTCACCAACTCCCTTCCCCGTGTCCAATCTCTCCTTCCCATCTTCATAACTCGAGGCCTCCTCCGGTCCGGCCCACAGGCCTCTGTGCAGCTGCACGGCCCTGCAAGCTCGAAAGCCGCTGAATCTGGCCCAGTACGCGAAGTGCCTCCTCAGGGCCGGACAGAGTCTCGATGGCTCCTGACGGTGGAATCTCGCTAATCACGGGAGCCGCGGTGCCTACGGCGGTGGCCGTGGCCCCCATCCGCCTGTAAAGTGCCGGCACGTGGCGGTTGAGGAGCTGGCCGAGACTCCGCCGTGCCCTCCTCCACCCCGTCCACATCTTCACTGAGACTCCACCTCCTACCTCAGACACTCGATTCTCTACCGTCCACCCCCCCCCCATCACGACCATCTTCTCTCCCGCATATTCCCTAATCTCCGAACTGGAACCCCAATCCCTTGTCACCTCCCACCACTCTCCCCCCTACCCCCACAACTCATTGCTGAACGAATACATTCTAAGGTCGCACTCATTACACACAAAATGTGCTTGCCACAAATGAACCACAATACCTTGCTGATCTCGTCAAGGAGCATAGACCATCATCACGCGAACTCCGATCAACCACACAGCGGCTTTTGCCCAGCCATTGAACAAAGATGGTGACTGCATCACACGCTTTTTGTGGCCGTCTGGAACTATGCACTTTGAAACCTAGATTGAAAACTCATTTTTTTTAAACTGCTTTTTGTGTTTAGTTTGTTGTCCTTCCCCCGTAACCTCCGATTAGCACGGTTAGCTACGTATGGTGCGAAAGAAGCACTATCTACATACACACAACAGGAGGCGATCCATTCTGAACCGCTCGTGAACGAGGTGTCTGTTAAAAACTGATTGCGACGCATCTCAGCGTCTAGGCTGCGTTAACAGCAGCGTGACTTACATTTTAAAATGCGACCGATTAAGCCACGGGTTGTGGCAAGTCACCTTCAAGTTACAAAAGTCAGCGAAGTCAACTCTGTACAATTTGCATCGCTTCCTTCTTCGCGTAATCCCGGCGACTAATGATTGGTCAATCGCAGCACAGCACAGGCGCTAAGCGTATTTAAAAACTATCGTACAGGTTTAAATTTCACACGCATATATATATACTCTACAGTTGTACTGTTGACAAACGTCAGCCAGCAAGTCTCTAGAGAGTATGGGTGTGTATGTATATATATACAACCACTAACTGTGCCCTCCACGTGGTGCACAGGTGATGCATCTGTCAGTCGTCTCAGTCAGTCAACTCATGGCACCTGCTGGGTCTGTCCCGTGACCTCCTGGCAGTAGTGAGCCTTCGACACTTCATGCGACGACCTCATAGTGCACCTGGCCTGGCACGGGCCGCCACTTAGTGGCGAATGGCGGCTGCTGTTGTTGTTGTTATACAACCGCTAACTGTACATGTGTACACAAACCGTTTCTCCCACCACCAGCACCACCACCGCAGTGGCGCTGTGCAGTGGCGAGAGACTGCGCACACCCCCCTTGCCCCCCCCCCCAGGCCGAGGTCACGGCGGCGAGGGACCCCTTGCCAACAGCAGCCGCTGCCGACGTCCCACCGGCGCTCCTCCCAGCGTCACGACGACCGCTGCGTTATCACGGCGCCGGCGCGAGATACCGCGCCGCGATTCACACCGTGCGCGTCCGCCCGCTGCCTCCGCAGGGGTTGTCCTTCCCACCGTGGTCTCTTCCTCGGCAGGAGCAGGGGGGGAAGCAGGTTCCATTCCCCTGCCCCTCTGCCGCTCCGCCACAATCCACTCGGCGGCGATCGCCCACGCCGCCGGCCTGAGCGCTGGCCGTGCGCGCGTCTCCGAGCGTCGGAGCGCACTGTCGGTCGGTGAAGGTCACCGGTGCCGGACGTGTCGGCCCCGCAGAGCGGCGGTCCCGTCGCCGTGCAGGGGGACGGGCGCTGCCAGCTGCACCGGTGATGGAGAGTCGCTGGAGGATGGCGCCCACGTTCGGCTCCCCCAGTGGCAAGTGAATTTGTGCGGAAAACGCCGCCGCCGCCGCACCGGTTCAAGAGGTTTGACCGCTGGCACGCCCTGGGGCAAGCTGCGTCAACGTCGTTCCCCCGTCGCCCAGACACGACCGTGGGTTTCCCGTGAGGTGGGGGGGGGGCGACGGGGGGGGGCCCTGACCCCCCAAGGGTTTAACGCGAGTTGCAGGGAGGTGGGGGGACCGGTGAGCAGAGGCGTGGTGGTGCCCGCCGTGGATCCGGTGCTCTGCGCGATGGAGCCGTTACGATGTCCAAACCTGCATCATGAAAGCACGGAGAGAGAGAGAGGGGTAACGTGAAAAATAGCCGATTCTGTTAGGCGGAGAGTGGAAGGTAGCCTTGATCCAGATCCTCACCCGAACACGCCCCATGCTGACTCTAGCCCTCGACGTAATCCCTCAACCTCAGCCTAACTCTCAAGATGTTAACTCCCTCGCCTGGCACACAGGAGGTCGTGGGTTCGATCCCGACCCTGACGCCTGCTGTATATCTGGAGTTTCCATGTTCTCCCTGTGGTCGCATACATTTTCTCCGTTCTTTCACCTCCACATTTAGAATCAACAAGCGTTTTAGAGTAGATGATGAGCCACTTCGTTGAGCTATCATTTGTGACAGCCAGGTCACTTCTGAAAAAGAGCTATACAGCTCAGTGGGCCTTGCCTGGAAAAATAAACTACAAGATGAAACTAATCCTCACCCCAGCACGACTAACCCTCCCCACGAGGGCCCTCTTCGCCATAGGAGGATCCCGACGCAGGTTCCCTGCTAAAATGTCACCGCACCTCCCCGCACTCAAGCCAAGCGGGGAGGTGCGGTTCGCGAAGCCTCACTAACTATCTCCCGGCGTGCCACGGCGGCCCGAGGCGCCGTCGTGTTCCGACGGGACGAGAGAGCGGCGCGCGGCTCCGAGCGGGAGTCGAACCTTGACGGTGCTGTCGACGGCGCCCGAGAAGAGGCGCCCGCGCGAGACGGCGAGCGCCGTCACGCTGCCCTGGTGGCGCAGCAGCGTCTGCGTGCAGATCATGTTGTCCATGCTCCACACCTGCCACGTGTCATCACGCGGACGTCACGCGCACATACACGGACACGTCATGCACGCGCGCGCATGCACACACACACGGAAGTAACTCACAAATTCACAATCTCGTGCGTGTGTGGTAAGTAGAGCGGGCTGTGCCGTGTGCAGCGCCGTGCGGTGTCTGGCGTGCAGCGTGCGGTTGTGCAGCTATGCAGTGTGCAGCGTGCAGTGTGCAGCACGCGGCGTGGGGTGTCCAGCCTGAAGTGTGTGGTGTGCAACATGCGGTGTTTTACATGCATAGTGCAGTGTGCGTTGCACCCTTTTCAGCACACAGCGAGTGGGGTGCAGTGTGCAGCGCGCGGTGTGTGCAGTGCAGTGTGCGGTATGCAGCGTGTGGCGAGTTGAGCGGTGCGTGCGGTGCGTGCGGTGCGTGACGTGCGAGTGGTGTGGGGTGCGTGCGGTAGTCACCCGGAGTGAGCGATCGTAGGAGGCACTGAACACTTTGGTCTGGTCGGGCGTGGAGATGACGGCAAGGGCGTACACAGTGCCCACGTGCCCCGTCAGCGTGCGCACCTGCTCCTTCGACTCAATGTCCCACACCTGAGCCACCACACACCCCGCAGGGTTACATACAGACAAGGACAACGATCCCCCGAATAGTCTTTAACAGACTGTTGAGGCAATGGCTGTTCGCGAGCACCTATGAAGGCCGGCATGGCACGCGAGGGGTGGGTGGCCAGGACCACGCCCGGCTGCCTTTGTCCCCCTCGTGGCGATGTTTACACATCGCACCAGGTACTCATTTGAGGCCGAGTCAACCTAGGGGAGGCCCAGGACCGGTTAATTTAATCGTCACTGGAGTTGGGAGGCCGAAACTGGTAATCGAACCGCTGTGCCACCTCTCCCCACAAGTCACACACCACACCACCGCACACACCACCACACACACCACCCATTACACACACACACACACCGCCATGTGCGCACACAGTACACACTGCACGACACACGCACACCCCGCGGACCGTGCCAGGTGGGTGTCCGCACGGGGAGGCGTTCATCCAGCAGTGGAAAGACCGTGAGGTAGCGATGATGGAGCACGCCGCGGTGGCACACTTCGCGCAGGAAACGCGACGGATCGTGCGGGTTGATGAACCGGCGACGCTGCTGCGAGCTGTGCTCATGGGGGGGGTGCGGCGGGTCGATCTTGGCGAGTTGACGGATGAAACGCGACGACGGCGCGTGGGTGGAGAGGGATGAGCGGGCAAGAAGAGGGGAGGGAGGAGGAGGAGGAGGCGGGGGCGGGGAGATTGCTCCGATTAGGGGGATGGGAGCTTTGATAAGATGCACAATAGGGGGGTGGGTGGGAGGGAGCGGGTGGGTGGGTGCGGTGAGGTTCCGGGGACGTTTGTTGTGACGGGCGTCTGGTGGCCGGGGTCGCGTGCCATGGGGGGGGGGGGGGGCGGTGAAAGGGGGGATGATGGGTTGAAGGGCGTGGAGACGCGAGCTTCACGGGGGTTGCGTTCAGGATTGATGGGGTGGCCCGGCACGATACACCATCTGGAGACGCCGTGCGGATAAGGACGCCACCACCGGCGTCGAGTGGCAACATCTATCACTTAAATGGGAAAGCGCGCATCGCGCACGAGATAATCGTGATAATTGGTTATTCGCGCAATATGTCTGAGAGCGGAAGACGGACATGAAGTAAGACGCAGCTGTGTTTCGCGGGCCTACATGTATGGAATAGTTTCACAGTTGGTGGCAATGACGCTGTACGTTCCTGCTGCCGAGTCATTTGCGGCGAGGGGGGGGGGGGGGGAATAAAAAATAATAAATTGATAAAATTTGGAACATTATGCTGCCACGCGTCTGGACAACTCGTTTCGAATCACATCAGGGGATCTTTAGTGTCCACTGTGAAGCGGACGGCGCGTTGCATTTGACGGTTTAGCGAACACGCAGGAGTAACCGGGACGGTCCGCCAGGTTGGAACCGTGAACCTCTGCATCGAGCGGCGAACACTGCATCGCTGGGCACATGTGACCTCCCAAAGTCGGGTGGGATGACTACAGGAGCGCTCGCTGGTTCGTGACAGCCCTGGCTTGTGACAACACGGGCGAGTGACAGCCCTGGCTTGTGACAACACGGGCGAGTGACAGCCCTGGCTTGTGACAACACGAGCGAGTGACAAGATCGCCCAGCTGTACGAGTATGCGTGCGAGTGTGAATGTGTACGTGAGCGTGTGAATGTGTACGTGAGCGTACACACGCGTGTGTACACGTCTATGTGTGAGTGCTACGAAGCCGGTGACCCGAGTTCAATTCCTGCTTACGCCCATCACCAGTGACGATTATCGGAACCGATCATCAGCCTCCCCTAGGTCAACTCAGCCTTAAATGAGTACCTGGTGCGATGTGCAAACGTCGCCAGTGCGGAGACAAAGGCGGCCGGGCGTGGTGCCGGCCACCAACCCCCTCTCGTGTGCGTGCCGGCTTTAATAGGTGCTCGCTAACAGCACTTGCCCCTACAGTCTGTCAATGCCTTGTGTGTGCGCGCGAGTGTGTGCGTGCGAGTGTGTGCGCGAGTGTGCGTACGCATCCGTACGTGTATGAGGTTCTCGTAGGTGCCGCACACGATGTGGTGGTTTGTAACGGCGATGGAGTAGACGCTGCCCCCGGACGTCTGCAGGACGTGCACGCACTCCAGCGAGCGCATGTCCCAGATCTGCAACCGAAAACACGCAGAGGCAATGATCCCCGGTGTACCCCCGCAGGCTGCTGAGGCGAGTGCCATCCGGCGGGCACCTCTGAAGGACATACTCTTAGTTTTTTCGGTAAAGTCACGTAGGTAACAAGGAAAAATTAAATTAATAAAAATAAAATAACATAAATCACGACGTTTCGGAGGCAACACAAGTCTCCGTCATCAGGTGGGACCGTCACAGCCAGATTTGCTGTATCACAGCCAGATTTGCTGATGCAGCAAATCTGGCTGTGACAGTCCCACCTGATGACGGAGACTTGTGTTGCCTCCGAAACGTCGTGATTTATATTATTTTATTTTTATAAATTTTTATTTCAGTTTTTTTTTTACCGACGTGACTTTACCGAAAAAACTAAGAGTATGAATCCTTGCAAGTCACGAAAGCTTCAAATCTAGAACGTCTGAAGGACGCCACGGACGAACGAGGAGGGGCGGGCAGTGACCAGCACCGCCCCTCCGGCCGCCTTTGTCTCCCCGATGCCGATGCAGCACGTTGCACCAGGTGCTAAATTAAGGCTAAGTCGTCCGAAGAGAAGACCACGAGTTGGTTCTTACAATTGCCACTGATGCGAGCCGTGGCCGGGAGTCAAACTCAGGTCACCGGGTTCAGTTGCGCAGTGCTCTTTAACCGCTATGGCTCGTCTTACCGACATCACACCAAAGTGCTTGTGCAGGGCTAGGTGCACTTCGAGGACATTTGATGTACCGACGGGAGGCCACGCGACAGACCCAGGTGCCATGGGTTGACCGACCGAGATGACTGGCAGATGCATCACCCGTGCTCAGCTTCTTTGCCAACCTGCTGCGTTTTAGCCACCCGGCGCTCGTTGTGAGCATCACAGCATACACACTAAGATCCCCCGTATAACCTTGACAGACTGTGCTGTTAGCGAGCACCTATGAAGGCCGGAACGGTATACGAGGCGGTGGGTGGCCAGCACCACGCCCGACCGCCTTTGTCTCCCCAGTGGCGATGTTTACACACCGCACCAGGTACTCGTTTTAGGCTGAGTCGACCTAGGGGAGGCCCGGGACCGGTTCAGATAATCGTCACTGGTGTTGGCCGTGAGCGGGAATCGAACTCGGGTCGCCGGGTTCATAGCACAGCGCGCTAACCGCTACACCATCGCTCCCCAAATACACACACACACACCACACTCAATCCACGTCAACTACAGAATAGTCATGACAATGAGCAGATATGCATACACAAGTGTACCACCATATGTGTGCATGTACATGTGTCTTGACCTGCATATCTCTTGACAGCGAGCTTTCAGCACTGCATGTGGCCCTAAAGTTCACCTAATCTTGCACGGGCACTGCCGTGACATCACCGTCGCTTAGTGTCGAATGACGGCTGTTATTGTTGTTGTGTACATCTATGTGTGTGCGTATACACACACTCAATGACATATGCACCGTGTGTGTGTGTGCGTACACGTGTGTGAATCCACTCTCTGGAGAGTGGTAGTGCAGCGGTTATCGCGGTGCCCTACATACCCGTGGACCCGAGTTCGATTCCCGCTCATGGCTAAGACCAGGTCCTGGACCTCCACCTAGGTCGACTCAGCCTCAAGTGAGTACCTGATGCGGTGTGTAAACATCGCCACTGAGGAGACAAAGGGCGGCCAGGCGTTGTGCTGGACAACCGCCCCATCATGCGCCGTGCCAGCCTTCATAGGTGCTTGCTAACAGCACTTGCCTCAAAAGTGTGTTAAGGCTATACGGGGGATCTTTGTCTTTGTTGTGTGAATCCACCTTGATGGTCTGGTAGGAGCCACTGTAGAGGTAGTGCTGCGAGGCCACCAGCGCCCGCACCCAGTGGTTCAGGCCCGTCAGCTCCTTCTTCAGCTTCAGCTCTGTGCCCACCATGTCCCACACCTGCACCACCGACACAGCACAGCCTGACACAGCTGCCCATTGGGAACATCGGTACAGCGTGGACACCCGTCGGTACAGCGTGGACACCCGTCGGTACAGCCGGGACAGCCGTCGGTATATGTGGGACAGCCATCGGTACAGCGTGGACAGCCGTCGGTACAGCGGGGAGACCCGTCGGTACAGCTGGGACAGCCATCGGTACAGCTGGGACAGCCGTCGGTACAATGTGGTGCGGACGGCATGGGTGGTAGAGGGGTGGTAGAGGGGTGGTAGAGGGGTGGTAGAGGGGTGGTAGAGGGGTGGTAGAGGGGTGGTAGAGGGGTGGTAGACGGGTGGTAGAGGGGTGGTAGAGGGGTGGTAGAGGGGTGGTAGAGGGGTGGTAGAGGGGTGGTAGAGGGGTGGTAGAGGGTGGTAGAGGGATGGTAGAGGAGTGGTAGAGGGGTGATAGAGGGGTGGTAGAGGGGTGGTAGAGGGGTGGTAGAGGGGTGGTAGAGGGTGGTAGAGGGGTGGTAGAGGGGTGGTAGAGGGGTGGTAGAGGGGTGGTAGAGGGGTGGTAGAGGGGTGGTAGAGGGGTGGTAGAGGGGTGGTAGAGGGGTGGTAGAGGGGTGGTAGAGGGGTGATAGAGGGGTGGTAGAGGGGTGGTAGAGGGGTGGTAGAGGGGTGGTAGAGGGGTGGTAGAGGGGTGGTAGAGGGGTGGTAGACGGGTGGTAGACGGGTGGTAGAGGGGTGGTAGAGGGGTGGTAGAGGGGTGGTACAGGGGTGGTACAGGGGTGGTAGAGGGGTGGTAGACGGGGTGGTAGAGGGGTGGTAGAGGGGTGGTAGAGGGTGGTAGAGGGGTGGTAGAGGGGTGGTAGAGGGGTGGTACAGGGGTGGTAGAGGGGTGGTAGAGGGGTGGTAGAGGGGTGGTAGAGGGGTGGTATAGGGTGGTAGAGGGGTGGTAGAGGGGTGGTAGAGGGTGGTAGAGGGGTGGTACAGGGGTGGTAGAGGGGTGGTAGAGGGGTGGTAGAGGGGTGGTAGAGGGGTGGTAGAGGGGTGGTAGAGGGTGGTAGAGGGGTGGTAGAGGGGTGGTAGAGGGGTGTAGAGGGGTGGTAGAGGGGTGGTAGAGGGGTGGTCGAGGGGTGGTAGAGGGGTGGTAGAGGGGTGGTAGAGGGGTGGTAGAGGGGTGGTAGAGGGGTGGTAGAGGGTGGTAGAGGGGTGGTAGAGGGGTGATAGAGGGGTGGTAGACGGGTGGTAGAGGGGTGGTAGAGGGTGGTAGAGGGGTGGTAGAGGGGTGGTAGAGGGGTGGTAGAGGGGTGGTAGAGGGGTGGTAGGAGGGGTGGTAGAGGGGTGGTAGAGGGGTGGTAGAGGGGTGGTTAGAGGGTGGTAGAGGGTGGTAGAGGGTGGTAGAGGGGTGGTAGAGGGGTGGTAGAGGGGTGGTAGAGGGGTGGTAGAGGGGTGGTAGTAGCGGGTGGTAGAGGGGTGATAGAGGGGTGGTAGAGGGGTGGTAGAGGGGTGGTAAGGGGTGGTACAGGGTGGTAGAGGGTGGTAGAGGGGTGGTAGAGGGGTGGTAGAGGGGTGGTAGAGGGGTGATAGAGGGGTGGTAGAGGGGTGGTAGAGGGGTGGTAGAGGGGTGGTAGAGGGGTGGTAGAGGGGTGGTAGAGGGGTGGTAGAGGGGTGGTAGAGGTGGTGGTAGAGGGGTGGTAGAGGGGTGGTAGAGGGGTGGTAGAGGGGTGGTAGAGGGGTGGTAGAGGGGTGGTAGAGGGGTGGTAGAGGGGTGGTAGAGGGGTGGTAGAGGGGTGGTAGAGGGGTGGTAGAGGGGTGGTAGAGGGGTGGTAGAGGGGTGGTAGAGGGGTGGTAGAGGGGTGGTAGAGGGGTGGTAGAGGGGTGGTAGAGGGGTGGTAGAGGGTGGTAGAGGGGTGGTAGAGGGGTGGTAGAGGGGTGGTACAGGGGTGGTAGAGGGGTGGTAGAGGGGTGGTAGAGGGGTGGTAGAGGGGTGGTAGAGGGGTGGTAGAGGGGTGGTAGAGGGGTGGTAGAGGGGTGGTGAGGTAGAGGGGTGGTAGAGGGGTGGTAGAGGGGTGGATAGGGGTGGTACAGGGGTGGTAGAGGGGTGGTAGAGGGGTGGTAGAGGGGTGGTACAGGGGTGGTACAGGGGTGGTAGAGGGGTGGTAACAGGGTGGTACAGGGGTGATAGAGGGGGTGGTAGAGGGTGGTAGAGGGGTGGTAGAGGGGTGGTAGAGGGGTGGTAGAGGGGTGGTAGAGGGGTGGTTAGAGGGGTGGTAGAGGGGTGGTAGAGGGGTGGTAGAGGGGTGGTACAGGGGTGGTAGAGGGGTGGTACAGGGGTGGTAGAGGGGTGGTAGAGGGGTGGTAGAGGGGTGATAGAGGGGTGGTAGAGGGGTGGTACAGGGGTGGTACAGGGGTGGTAGAGGGGTGGTAGAGGGGTGGTAGAGGGGTGATAGAGGGGGGTAGAGGGTGGTTGGTTAGAGGGGTGATAGAGGGGTGGTATGGTAGAGGGGTGGTACAGGGGTGGTACAGGGGTGGTACAGGGGTGGTACAGGGGTGGTACAGGGGTGGTACAGGGGTGGTAGAGGGGTGGTTAGAGGGGTGGTAGAGGGGTGGTAGAGGGTGGTAGAGGGGTGGTAGAGGGGTGGTAGAGGGGTGGTAGAGGGGTGGTACAGGGGTGGTACAGGGGTGGTAGAGGGGTGGTAGAGGGGTGGTAGAGGGGTGGTACAGGGGTGGTACAGGGGTGGTACAGGGGTGGTAGAGGGGTGGTAGAGGGGTGGTAGAGGGGTGGTAGAGGGGTGGTAGAGGGGTGGTACAGGGTGGTAGAGGAGGTGGTTAGAGGAGTGGTAGAGGGGTGGTAGAGGGGTGGTAGGGCGGTGGTAGAGGGGTGGTAGGGCGGTGGTAGAGGGGTGGTAGAGGAGGTGGTAGAGGGGTGGTAGAGGGGTGGTAGAGGGGTGGTAGAGGGGTGGTAGAGGGGTGGTAGAGGGGTGGTAGAGGGGTGGAGGGGGCCGGCTCCTCGCCTTTATGGCCTTGAGCGAGCCGGTGAAGAGGAGGCTGGCCGAGGCCACCAGGGTGCACACGGGGTTGTCGTGCGCACGGATCGTGTTCACGTTCTGCAGCGTCGGGATGTCCCACACCTTCACACACACACACACATTCACGTACGCACGAATGTACATGCGCACGTAAGTGCGCGTAGGCACGCATACACATACATACATATAAACAAAGACATATATCCCCCGTATAGCCTGAGGAGACTGTTGGGGCAAGTGCTGTTAGCGAGCACCTCTGAAGGTCGGAACGGCACACGAAGGGGTGATGTGGCCAGCACCGCGCCCGGCCGCCTTTGTCTCCCCAGTGGTGATGTTTACACACCACACCAGGTACTCATTTTAGGCCGAGTCGTCCGAGGGGAGGCCCAGAACCGGTTCAAATAATCGTCACCGGTGTTGGCCGTGAGCGGCAATCGAACTCGGGTCGTCGGTTTCGTAGCACAGTGCGCTAACCACTAAACTACAAAGACAAAGATTCCCCGTATAGCCTTAACAGATTGTTGGGGCAAGTGCTGTTCGCGAGCTATACTACACACACGTACACGCAACAAACACGCAAAACACGCGCACAAGCACTCGCGCGCGCACAGGTCTGGTTAAATATCCCTTCGCTTCGGGAGAGAGAGGAGAAAAGCTGCCACAAAATGTTACCACTCCAGCGGCCACTCACGATTATGGTGCAGTCTGCCGATCCGCTGTAGAGCTTGTTCCTGGAAAAATATAAAAATAGGAATCAATTTCCTCCACGTCTTTATTATAAATTCGTTTTACACACAACCAGACGCGCCTGCGTTCGTCAAGTGCGCGTGCTGTCATTGCGGCATGTTTGTGCGTGCGAGTGTGATAGGTGGTTGCTGTTGTTGAGTGTGGGAAACCTCTGTTCGATTCCCGCTTGTGGCCAAAACCAGGCACGATTATCAGAACCGGTCCTGGGCCTCCCCATAGGTCGACTCTGCCTAAAATCAGTACCTGGTATGTAAACATCGCCACTTGAAGGTGGCCGGGCATGGTGTTGGCCACCCGGCCTTCATTAGGTGCTCGCTAACAGCACTTGCCCCAACAGTGTGTCAAGGCTAAACGGGGGTTCTTATCTTTGTTGGTGTGAGTGTGCTGCAGTGCGTGTGGTGTTGTGTTTCTCCGCTCGTGTGTGTGTTTGGCCAAGTGAATCTCAAATGGGCCATTGGAATCGCAGTGGGCAAGAGGTGTCTCAATGGTCCAGTATTCACCTGGTGGTGGCAACAACCACTACTACCACCGCCACCACCACCACCACCACCACCACTCACCCCTGTATGCACAGCGCCAGCACGATGCCGTCATGCCCCTCCAGGGTTTTCTGACACTTGTAGTTGGTGCACGTATCCCACACCTGCACAACAGCATGGATATCATCAGCAACGGGATTAGCAATAACAGCTGCGACAACCAACAACAAACATCTCTCAGACTCCCACATCTCACAGGTGGTTCAAGGATAGTGGCTGTTGTGTTGATGGTGCCGGTGGTCGTTAGATGGCAGGTGGTGGTGGTGGTGTTGGTTGTAGTGGGATGGCAGGAACCGGCGGTGCCAGGATATGGGTCACCGTGCTAGAGGTGCTGCTGGCGGCACTGCTAGTGGTTGTGCTGGCGGTGCCGGTAGTTGCAATACGGCAGATGGTGAGAGTGGTGGTGTTGGTTGCCGTGAGTTGGCAGAAACTCGTGGCAGTACTGCCGGGTGTTTTGGTAGTGCTGCTGCTGGTGCTGGTGAGATGGCACGAGCCGGCCGGTGAGGGTGGCGAGTGGCGCAGCCTGCCTTGATGGTTTTGTCGGAAGAGCCGCTGAAGAGGAGATCTCCGGTGGGGTAGACGCACAGGCACCACACGGGGCCCTGGTGGCCCACGAACGTGCCCTTGCACTTGAAGATCTGCTGCGGGTCGTATGCTGCTGGGGGGTGGGGGGGGGGAGGCATGCGAAGCGTTACACAACCGCCATGATGTCACGTTGGCATCAACGCCATGACCCAGGCTTCCCCTGCCAGAGGCACTCAGGCCGGGCCATATCCTCAGTCACTGCCGCAGCTCAGGCCTGAGCCGCCCACTTGCTTTCAGAGACGTACGAACGACGACTCACCCGTGGCTCGATTCAGGCTCGGCTCACGATGAGAAAACCCCAGCATGGTTGGGACCGTGATCAGAGCCGGATCGAGTTAAGCGGCGGAGGCTTTGTGCCCATTGCTCACTCCTCGAGGCAGAGCCAAGCCGTGACGAAGAATATGGGCGCCGCGGTGGCAAGATGTTCACTACCTCGCCTGGTATGCAGGAAGTCGTGGGTTCATTCCCGACCCGGACACCTGTAAATTTGGAGTTTGCATGTTCTTCTCCGGGTCCTCCAGGTTTTCCCTCCACGTTTAGAATCAACATTTGTTGAGTATTTGGCTGCTATAAATTTCCACGTGATAAACTACTTCTCATTGGGCTACCATTTGTGGCCAGGTCGCTTCTAAAAAACGAGCTGTATAGCTCAGTGGGGATTACCTCGTCAAAAAAATAGAATTTATAGCTTACAGAGGCCTAGGTATTAAAGGTCTCTCACCTGGAATTACACTGTAAAGGATATTGACCGTTTCATCGTTTGACGAACAATATCTGCTCACACACGAGGTGTTTTTGATGCGTGCATCATCGGTGTCGGAATCTTTCGGTGCCCACTCCCGCAGTTAGCAATCGGTGGCTGATTGATACCCCGGCAATCTCATTAATCACCTACAGCCCCGTCTGCATTTCTGCATCAATTCTCAAAAAAAACTGTCTTTTTTTTTTCCCTGCTCAGACACTGATGTCCACGGGGGCCAGCGGCGGCAATTCCGCATTCCTATGGCAGGCACAAGACTGTCCCGTGGATCCAAGCCACCCCCTGCTGCCGTGCCGGCTATGAGCGAGGCTAGCGTGAGGACTCAGCGTGAGGACTCAGCGTGAGGAGCCAGCGTGAGAAGTCCGCGCGTCAGCACGGCCACAGCTGGGCTCCACTTCCTGCCATTGCACCGGACGGGAAGCGCTGAGCTCACGACAGGAAACACCGGGCAGCCCCCACCTCCTCTCCCCCCCCCTTCTTCTTCATCCTCATCATCATCGCTGGCCCGATTCTCTCATCACCGGCTAGATCCCCCCCTCCTCAATTGCTTGTCGGGCCCCCCCCCCCCTTGATCACATCGTCAGCATCGTGCCACAGTGGCTGAGTGGGTGGGGCCGAGCATTGGTGAGTGGGGGGGGGTGGCAGAGGGCGGTAGTGGTGGAGGGGCTACTTACATCCCAGGACCCCCATGTTGAGCCGCGCGTTGATGTGCGAGAGCTCGTCCTGCGGAGGGAGAGGGCCACGTTGTGACTTCACAGCGTTCTCACGCTCGAGAGATCGCGGCGGGGGTTGGGGGGGGGGGCTCACGGGGGGGGCAGGGTGGGTGGGTGGGTGGTGGCAGGAGGGTTAAGGGGAAGTTGAATGAATTGTAGTTTGCGTGTCGTGTCGCCAAATTAATCTCCGGTGCCGTTGAATTAATGTTGATGTTGTCGCACGGATAATAAAAGTCGGCTCTTATATCATACTTTTTCATTTTCAGGCAACGGTGTTCTTGACGAACGTGATGGATGTTGGCTATAGATGTGCTTGGTCATTATCACTGCCAACACGGCAGCAACACAATTAGCATGACAATGAGGAGGACCGTTTGGTACCTTGTAGCAACAAAGGCATTGGCGAAGGTACCTTGGCCATGGCTTGGTAAGCTTCACACTGCTGCGGAACGTGGAGGCGTGGTTGCCGCGTGGTTGCCGCGTGGTTGCCGCGGTTCTACGTGTTGTCACGTGTGGCTATTGCCCGGTCAAATGTGCGGCTGCGCAGTTGCAAGCACGACTCACGCTCAGCATGGAGGTGTCTCTCCGGAACTCCATGAGGTCCTCGCTCAGCTTGCTCTGGTTCTCGTCGAGCACGTCTGCAGGCACGGCCACACACCCACGGCACCGCCACATAAGCCCCAACACCACCACCACCACCACCACCAACACCACCACCAACACCACCAACACCACCACCAACACCACCACCACCACCACCAACACCACCACCAACACCACCACCGCCAACACCACCGCCAACACCACCACCAACACCAACACCACCACCAACACCAACACCACCACCAACACCACCGCCACCAACACAAACAACACCACCACCAACACCACCACCAACACCACCGCCGCCGCCACCACCGCCACCAACACCACCACCAACACCACCACCACCACCGCCAACACCACCGCCAACACCACCACCAACACCAACACCACCACCAACACCAACACCACCACCAACACCACCGCCACCAACACAAACAACACCACCACCAACACCACCACCAACACCACCAACACCAACACCACCACCAACACCACCACCAACACCACCGCCAACACCACACCACCGCACCAACACAAACAACACCACCGCCACCACCAACACCACCGCCACCAACACAAACAACACCACCACCAACACCACCGCCACCAACACAAACAACACCAACACCACCACCAACACCACCGCCACCAACACAAACAACACCACCACCAACACCACCGCCAACACCACCCGCCACCAACACAAACAACACCAACACCACCACCAAACACCACCGCCACCAACACAAAACAACACCAACACCACCACCAACACCACCGCCACCAACACAAACAACACCAACACCACCACCAACACCACCGCCACCAACACAAACAACACCAACACCACCACTAACACCACCGCCACCAACACAAACAACACCAACACCACCACCGACACCACCGCCACCAACCAACACAAACAACACCAACCACCACCACCAACACACCGCCACCAACACAAAACAACACCAACACCAACACCAACACCACCGCCACCAACACAAACAACACCAACACCACCACCGACACCACCGCCACCAACACAAACAACACCAACACCACCACCAACACCACCGCCACCAACACAAACAACACCAACACCAACACCAACACCACCGCCACCAACACAAACAACACCAACACCACCACCAACACCACCGCCAACACCACCACCACCACCAACACCACCGCCACCAACACAAACAACACCACCACCAACACCACCGCCACCAACACAAACAACACCACCACCAACACCACCGCCAACACCACCGCCACCAACACAAACAACACCAACACCACCACCAACACCACCGCCACCAACACAAACAACACCAACACCAACACCACCGCCAACACCACCGCCACCAACACAAACAACACCAACACCAACACCAACACCACCGCCACCAACACAAACAACACCACCACAACACCACCGCCAACACCACCGCCACCAACACAAACAACACCAACACCACCACCAACACCACCGCCACCAACACAAACAACACCAACACCACCACCAACACCACCGCCAACACCACCACCACCACCAACACCACCGCCACCAACACAAACAACACCACCACCAACACCACCGCCACCAACACAAACAACACCACCACCAACACCACCGCCAACACCACCGCCACCAACACAAACAACACCAACACCACCACCAACACCACCGCCACCAACACAAACAACACCAACACCAACACCACCGCCAACACCACCGCCACCAACACAAACAACACCAACACCACCACCAACACCACCGCCAACACCAACACCACCGCCACCACCAACACCACCGCCACCAACACAAACAACACCACCACCAACACCAACACCACCGCCACCAACACAAACAACACCAACACCACCACCAACACCACCGCCACCAACACAAACAACACCAACACCACCACCAACACCACCGCCAACACCACCACCACCACCAACACCACCGCCACCAACACAACAACACCACCCACCAACACCACCGCCACCAACACAACAACACCACCACCAAACACCACCGCAACACCACCGCCACCAACACAAACAACACCAACACCACCACCAACACCACCGCACCAACACAAACAACACCAACACCAACACCACCGCCAACACCACGCCACCAACACAAACAACACCACCGCCCACCAACACACCACCGCCACCACCAACACACTGCCAACACAAACACCACCGCCACCACCAACCACCACCGCCACCAACACAAACAACACCACCACCAACACCAAACACCACGCCACAACACAAACAACACCAACACCACCACCAACACCACCGCCACAACACAAACACACCACCAACACCACCACCAACACCACCACCAACACCAACACCACCGCACCAACACAAACAACACCAACACCACCACCAACACCACCGCCACCAACAAAACAACACCAACACCACCACCAACACCACCACCCCCAACACAAACAACACCAAACACCACCACCAACACCACCGCCACCAACACAAAACAACACCAACACCACCACCAACACCACCGCCACCAACACAACCAACACCACCACCCAACACCAACCACCACCAACACACCACACACCAACAACACCAACACACCACCAACAGCCACCGCCAACACAAACAAACACCAACACCACCACCAACACCACCGCCACCAACACAAACAACACCAACACCACCACCAACACCACCCGCCACCAACACAAACAACACAACACCACCACCAACACCACCACCACCACCAACACAAACAACACCAACACCACCACCACCAACACAAACAACACCAACACCACCACCAACACCACCACCACCAACACAAACAACACCAACACCACCACCAACACCCACCGCCACCAACACAAACAACACCAACACCACCACCAACACCACCGCCACCAACACAAACAACACCAACACCACCACCAACACCACCACCAACACCACCACCACCACCAACACCACCACCAACACCACCACCACAAACAACACCAACACCACCACCAACACCACCGCCACCAACACAAACAAACACCAACACCACCACCAACACCACCGCCACCAACACAAACAACACCAACACCACCACCAACACCACCGCCACCAACACAAACAACACCAACACCAACACCAACACCACCGCCACCAACACAAACAACACCAACACCACCACCAACACCACCGCCAACACCACCGCCAACACCACCACCACCAACGCCACCAACACAAACAACACCACCACCAACACCACCGCCACCAACACAAACAACACCACCACCAACACACCCGCCAACACCACCGCCACCAACACAAACAACACCAACACCACCACCAACACCACCGCCACCCACACAAACAACACCAACACCAACACCACCGCCAACACCACCGCCACCAACACAAACAACACCAACACCAACACCACCGCCACCAACACAAACAACACCACCACCAACACCACCGCCAACACCACCGCCACCAACACAAACAACACCAACACCACCACCAACACCACCGCCACCAACACAAACAACACCACCACCAACACCACCGCCAACACCACCGCCACCAACACAAACAACACCAACACCACCGCCAACACCACGCCACCAACACAAACACCCACCCCACACCAACACCACCGCCACCAACACAAACAACACCACCACCAACACCACCGCCACCAACACAAACAACAAACCACCACCAACACCAACACCACCGCACCAACACAAACAACACCAACACCACCACCAACACCACCCCACCAACACAAACAACACCAACACCACCACCAACACCCCACCAACACCAACACCACCGCCACCAACCAAAAACACCAACACCCACCAACACCACCGCCACCAACAAACAACACCAACACCACCACCAACACCACCAACACAACAACACCAACACCACCACCAACACCACCGCCACCAACACAAACAACACCAACACCACCAACACCACCACCACCAACACAAACAACACCAACACCACCACCAACCCACGCCACCACACAAACAACACCAACACCACCACCAACACCACCGCCACCAACACAAACAACACCAACACCACCACCAACACCACCACCAACACCACCACCACCACCAACACCACCGCCAACACCACCGCCAACACCACCACACCAACACCACCGCCACCAACACAAACAACACCAACACCACCACCAACACCACCGCCACCAACACAAACAACACCAACACCACCACCAACACCACCGCCACCAACACAAACAACACCACCACCAACACCACCACCAACACCACCGCCAACACCACCGCCAACACCACCGCCAACACCACCGCCAACACCACCGCCAACACCACCGCCAACACCACCGCCAACACCACCGCCGCCGCCAAGGCGCGCCACACCACACCACCCGCTAGTCCACCTCAACCCCTGGAACCGCCTCCGACTGCGAGTGTCGCGCTGGGTGAGCTCTGTGCGGGCCTGTGACCGAGCTGTGCGTGCCAGTTTTAGCCGTTTGTGTCCATGTGAATCGTGCACGCCTGTGACTACCTGCATGCTGTGCGCGTGTGCCCGTGCGTGTGCCCGTGCGTGTGCCCGTGCGTGTGCCCGTGCGTGTACCCAGCCACCCAAGTTCAATTCCCACTCACGGCCAACACCGGTGATGATGTTCTGAACCGGCGATGTGCGAACATCGCCGCTAGGAAGACAAATGCGGCCGGGCGTGTTGTTGGCCACCTACCCTGTCATGTGCCTTGCCGGCCTTCATAGGTGCTCGCCAACAGCACTTTCCCCAACACAGTCTGTTAAGGCTACACGGGGGGTCTTAGTCTTTGAGTTTCGCCCATGCGAGCTGTGTGTGCCTGCGAGGGCTGTGCACGCGTGCCCATGCTCACTACTGGACGATCTGCGAACGAGAGCTTCACAGCTCATCGAATCAAGATTCCGAATCCGATTGGGCGCCGTTCGCGTGGGCTGCTCTGCCACTGCGGTCGTTACCGAACTTGAGCTCGACGCTCTTCTCGTGCTGGTCGAGGCGCTCCGACAGCTTGCCCAGCATGCTGCGCAGGAAGCCGATCTCCTGGTCCTTCTGCGTGAGCGACAGCTGCAGCTCGTGGAAGCGATCCTCCGTCTGCTGCAGGAACTCCTTGAGCCCCTCGAAGCGGCACGATGGCAGGTGCAGAGCAAACGCCTCCTGGTTGCCAGCAAACGGGCACCTGGGGTCACGCACACATGCACGCACGCACGGAAGGAAGGACGCACGACGTCAACGGAAAGACCCACCGAGCAACACAGCTCTTTTTCAGAAGCGGCCTGGCTACCACAAATCACAGCTCAACGAAGTGGCTTATCGTCACGTGGTTTTTATTTATTGCAGCAGCCAAATACTCTAAACGCGCGATGTTGATTCTAATTGCGGAGGGGAAAACCGGAGGACACCGGAGAAAAAAATCCACGCGACCACGGAGAGAGAGAGAACATGCAAACTGCAAATATACAGCAGCAGGCGTCAGGGTCATGATCGAACCCACGACCTCCTGTATACCAGGCGAGGTAGTTAACATCTCGCCACCGTGATGATGATGTTGAGAGAGAGAGACACGCAAACTCCAAATATACAGCAGCAGGCGTCAAGGTCATGATTGAACCCACGACCTCCTGTATACCAGGCGAGGTAGTTAACATCTCGCCACCGTGATGATGATGTTGAGAGAGAGAGACACGCAAACTCCAAATATACAGCAGCAGGCGTCAGGGTCGTGATCGAACCCACGACCTCCTGTATACTGGGCGAGGGAGTTAACATCTCCTAGCCACTGTGATGATGATGAGAGAGACACGCAAACTCCACATATACAGCAGCAGGCGTCAGGGTCGGGATAAAACCCACGACCTCCTGTATGCCGGGCGAGGGAGTTAACATCTCATAGCCACCGTGATGATGATGAGAGAGAGACACGCAAACTCCAAATATACAGCAGCAGGCGTCAGGGTCGTGATCGAACCCACGACCTCCTGTATACCAGGCGAGGGAGTTAACATCTCGCCCCTGCAGCGGCCAACGTTTGGCGATGTGATGGCGACGTCACCTCAGCGCTCGTGCCAGGAAAGGTGCAGTTTGAGGCTAACGCATAAATGTGTCAAAGGCTGGATGCTGGCAGGAGGTCACGGGACAGGCTCAGTGTGTTTTGGGGTTGACTTGGCGGAGATGGCACCGCCCCACCTGTGCTCCCCACTGTGCCACCATGCTGTGTTTTAACACAGCACACACAAGACAAAGATCCCCTGGGTAGCCTGTAACAGGTTGTGGGGGCAAGTGCCGTTAGCGAGCACCAATGAAGGCAGGCACGGCGCCCGAGGGTGTGGGTGGCCAGCACCGCGCCCGCAAAACTAAACAATAAACATGAAAGCGTACGACTACTACACGAGGGTAAAATGTACAGTCCGCACCATAATGATTCAATCAAATGCAAGAAGAGTACGAGGTGGTGCGTTGTACAGCATTTCCCTTAAACGGTGAGGAGGAAGGGCTATGGTCACTCCCAGAGGAATCGGCTATTTTTTAAACGGTCTTAACCCCGATAAAAGTGTTATTATGTTCACGTCTCTCGGCTGTTTTAGTGTTTTTAATAAAACAAAGTTTTTTTTTTATATTTTTTTTTACACTCTTTCTCGTCAATTCGTTTTACACGTATTACTTTCGCTCACCCCTGCACCCATTGGAGAGTTTAAACGGGGGGGCAGGGGGGGGAAGTGGGCAAAACTCCGAGAGGGGTGGGGGCAGGGGGGGACATATCACAGCGAGTAATAATAATATTTTAGTTTTTATACATTTGCATGAGCTGCTGCTGCTGCTGGCGAAAGCAAAATGCAGCTGCCGCTGATTATTACAACGCTGCAGCTGCTGCTGATAAATGATGATGATGCTGTTGCGGATACTGCTACGGGAGATGATAGTAATGGTGACGATGCTGTAGAAAATGATACTGCTGCTAATGATGCCGAGGCTGCTGCTGCTGCTGCTGCTGATGCCCGCCGGCGCTGAGCGTACCCGTACTTGGCGTGCACACACTTGATGTGCTCGCACTCCTTGAGGTGCACTGCCAGGTTGACCTTGAGCAGCGGCGGGCAGCTGGGGTTGTTGGGGCAGTGCACGGGGCGGTAGTCACAGCTCTCCTCGTGCTCCCTGCAAAAACAAAGACCAAGATCACCCCCCTATAGCTTTTACAAGACTGTTGGGGCAAACGCTGTTAGCGAGCGCCTATGAAGGCCGGCACGGCACACGAGGGGGTCGGTAGCCAGCACCACGCCCGTCCGCCTTTGTCTCCCCAGTTTCGATGTTTACACACCGCACCAGGTACTCATTTGAGGCCGAGTCGACGGAGCAGAGGCCCATGACTGGTTACGATAATCGTTACTGGTGTCGGCTGTGAGTGGGAATCAAACTCTTGTCGCCGGGTTTGTAGCGCAGCTCGCAAAGCGCTACACTACGGCTCCCTGCACATGCTCCCGGCACAAACGCGCACACACACACGTGCGCACGCACACACACACACGTACACGTGCACACGCACACACGCAGGTATATGTGCACAAACACGTAGCGCTGGCTAGTGCTCCGTGTAGTGGGGCGTGGCAGTGCGGCGTGGCAATGCGGCGTGTGGAACAGCGCGGGGCGACTTGCTTGCGAGCGCTGATGCGGATGGTGAAGGGACAGCCGCGAGGGTCGACCTCCCACGAGGAGCCCAGCTTCCCCGCGACCCCCACGACCCCGCCGCCGCCCGCCGCCGCCACGCGGCACCCGAACTTGCAGTGAATGAAGAGCTCCCCGATCTGCTCGGCCACCGCAATGTTGTTCACCACCACCGTGAGATTCGCGTTGTCCACCGGACACTTCTCTACAAAAGACAAAAGATCACCCCCCACCGGGAGAGCCGTTTTAAATGCACCCTTTGAGGCAAGTGCTGCTGGTGAGCGCCCGATTGTACGGATGCACACGCATATCAATGTCAAACTTCTTTGGCAACGAACGTAGCCGACCATGCTAAGCGGAGGTGTGGGGGGTGGGGGGAAAGACAACAAATAAAACACAAAAAGCAGTTCCAAAGAAATACATTTTCTATTTAGATTTCAAAGTGCACAGCTCCCAGTTGCTTCCTGATATCGGAAGGAAGAGCGTTCCAGATGGCCGCAAAAACGGATCTGAAAGCGCCACGCGATGCGGTGACCCAGCTTTGTTCGATGGTTGGCCAGAAGCAAGGCTAACCGGTTTTTGCGTAATGGTTTATGCTTCTTGACGTGATCAGTAAGGTGTTGTCGTTCATTCGTGGCAAGCACTTTGCGTGCAATAAGTGCGACCTTGTAATTAATGTCGGCACAGCACACACAGGCGGGTGGGTGACGCAGGGCAGTACTGCGCCCAGTGCTGATGTTTACACAACCGCAGCGGGTACTCATTTAAGGCCGAGTCAGCATAGGGGATGCCGAGCCTCTGATCGAGATATCGCTCGCCACTAACGTTAGCTGTGAACGGAGATCGAACTCCGGAAGCTGGGGTTTGTAGCGCCGTGACGCAGCAGTTAACACTGCACGTACACCGGCCTAAAAAACTTGTTGGGTGTTGTTAGCGAGCAACTAGTAAGGCCAGCATGGCATAATAAGTAGGCATTGTGCCACCCCCCGCCACCACACACACAATATAACCCCTCATGAACTGTGAGCTGGCAAGCGATGGGAACGAACGCAGGGGACGGTGGACGGTGTGAGAAAGGTTCGTAACGAACATGAAAGGCACGTTCAGCGACACGCGACCACCTCCAGTTCATCGCTCAATCTCCCAACTTGCGCCCCCCCCCACAACCCCCGGCCTTCATCTGGACGCAAGAGCCACTCCACTCTGCTCGGCAAGAAAACGCCACCCCTCATCTCCACCTTCCCCCCCCCACTCCGTTACCGCTTTGCAATCAAAACAAAATTTACGGCCAAAATCCGGCACTTTCTCCCGGCGTCTGGCACTGCGCCCGGGGCCACGACGGCCAAGGAGTCGTGACGTCCACGGCGACCGGTGGGGGGGGGGGGGGGCAGGAAGCACCTTGCCAGGGAGGGGGGCCGCCACCCCCCACCTCCCCGCCCCTGCCTCCCCCCAAGGCCCAGCTTATCTGTCCTGGCGGCGCCCGCCACCGACGCTACCCTCCACTGCCGCCACCCACCCCACGCCACCCCATCTCCCACCCCTCCATCCACTGACTCCTTCTACAACCCCCCCCCCCCCCCCGAAGCGCCTCGCACCGCGCTCTCTGTTGTTGTTTGGCCCTGGCCGCTGTCGTAGGTGTGGTCGCCGCAGCTTAACGATCTCTGGAGGTGGGTTTTTGCGTTTAATTGCATCGAAAACACAGCGGCGTGCCAATGGGATGTTCTGGTCGAGGTTCGGGTTTTGGCTTTTAAAGATTCTGTTTTCGAGGCGCGTCTGTGTTTGTTCGGCTGCTGCTGCCGTGGTGGTGGCGGTGCTGAATGCTGTTGGCGGTGGCGATTGGGTGCACCGAGCCTGACGCAAGCGCCGTTGTGACGTCGCTGCCACTTGGTGGCGAACGGCGGTTGTTGTCAGTGGTGGGATGGTAATGGTGCTGGTGGTCTCAGTAAATATATCGGTTCGAAACCAGCGGCCTGGCACAAGCGCTGCGATGATGTCCACGAATGGCGGCTGTTGCTGCTGTTGGTGGAGTGTGATAGTGATGGTGGATGGTAGTGGTGCTGGTGGTGGTGGTCGTGGTGGTCGTGGTGGTGGCAGTGGTGGCATTGGGGGGCGGTGGAAACAGCGAAGGTGTTGGTGGTAGGGATGATTGTGAACCTGGTAGGTGGTGCTGGCGGTGCCGAGTTGAACAGAATAGTTTTTCAATGACCACCAGTTGCAAGGATTCCTCACCACCTCCATCCTCACCGTTGCGCACATCTCCCTCACCGCAACCTTCACCACTACACCTCGCTCACCACCTCGCTCACCACTCACCGCAGCATCTCACCACCGCCCTCCCCCCACCCCGAGCGGCTCGCTACACATTCACCCGGACGCGACGCAAACCGGACGCGCAACTCACCGGACGTCAGCGCGCACTTGCGGCAGAACGTGTGCTGCAAACCCAACAGACACAGCACACACGCACGCGCGCGCACGATCAACAACGCGACAGGGGCATGACAGATGCAACACACACAGCAGAGGGTGCGCGGTGCACACAGAGCAGATGTAACCCATAGCACAACACACGCAAGACAGACACACACACGCAACACGAAATGAAAACACCACAGAAAAACAACACAACACACACGGACACACAAACTGCACACAATGTTGTCGTTCCCCCACGCAAGAGACGCACGCAATACAAAACAGACACACCATGCACGAGAGAAACGCACGCAGCGTTGGGCTGTAGGATTCCACCCCCTTGCACGTCGGGGTGACAGTCCCGCACGCGAGTCAAGAGCCGTCACGGCCCAGCTCCAGTCAAGAGCGGTCACGGTTCAGCGGCAGTCACGAGCAGTCAAGGCCCAACACGGAGTCACGAGAGCCGAGGCGCGAGCCGTCACGGCCCGGGCTATCGCTCTGCTCCACTACCGCCGACAAAAACTCCACTCGGTTGGGAAATAGCTCGAGGTGATCGTCACGTCGCCCCGCACCACGTGGCTGAAAAATGAAAGCCTTGAGGCTAAGCGAGTCTTTCCTTGGGTAAATAATTGCGAGACAAAATTAGAAATGAATGCGAAGAAAAGAAAAAAAACCCAACAACGGAGGCCTCCCCGTCCTCGTTATGAAACAAAGCGCGCGGAACTGATAAGTGGGGCGCCAGCAATCGCGAGCGGAACTGGGCACGGGCGACCGGGTTCCACACACACACACACACGGACGTACGTATGTACAAGCGGCAAGGGCGCCAGTGGGTTCCACACACAAACACACACACGTACGTACGTCCACGTAACATGGGCGCGGGTTCCACACACAAACACACACACGTACACATGACATGGGCGCGGGTTCCACACACAAACACACACATATACACACACGTACGTCCACGTGACATGGGTGCCAGTGGGTTCTCCATAAAAACACTAAAACTAAACGATTATTCGTATTGATTTGAAGCTTTCGTGACTACGGAATCCATACTCTTTGGTTCTTTCGGTAAAGTCACGTGGGTAGAAAATTAACAGATAACGACGTTTCGATCAAGCACATCAAGAAAAAAAAAAAGTTTTTTCTTGATGTGGTGGTCCCACCTCATGATGGTTGCTTGTGTCGCGATCAAAACGTCGTGATCTATTAATTTTCTACCTACGTGACTTTACCGAAAGTCACGCAGCTCTTTTTCAGATGCGACCTGGCAAACAAACGATAGCTCAACAAAGTGGCTTATCACGTGACAATTTATAGCAGCCAAATACTCGCAACGCGTGATGTTGATTTTAAACCCGTAGGGGAAATCCTGGAGGACCCGGAGAAAAATCCACGCGACCACATTCAAACTCCAAATATACAAGCGTCAGGCTTGGGATCGAATCCACAACCTCCTGCATACCAGGTGAGAGGGAGTTAACATCTCGGCACGGAGACATACGTACGTACATACACGTGGCACGGGCAATCAGCAGGGACCACTGCCCCCCCCCGCTCCCCTCCCCTGTGTCAGCAAATGGTGGCACCAGACAGCCAATTACTGGTGCTGCTGGTGGCCAGGAAGAAGGATGCATTTGATGTCTGTATATTGAACTTATTACGCAACATATGCAGCCCGACCGTGCTAACCGGAGGTGCGGTGATGTGGTGTGGTGACGTGCGAGGGTAGGCGGTGACGTGCGATGGTGGTGTGAGGGCGAGGGACAATGCACCGATTGTGAGTGGTGAGGTGTAATAGTGAGTGATGATGTGTGATGTTGTGTGATGGTGAGTGATGATGCGTGATGGTGAGCGATGGAGTGTGTCGGTGAGCGATGGTGTGTGATGGTGAGTGGCGATGTACGGTGGTGAGCGATGATGTGAGTGATGGTGTGTGATGGGGAGCGATGGTGTGTGATGGTGAGTGGCGATGTACGGTGGTGAGTGATGATGCGAGTGATGTTGTATGATGGTGAGCGATGATGCGAGTGATGGCGTGTGATGGTGAGTGATGGTGTGTGATGGTCAGTGGTGATGTACGGTGGTGAGTGATGATGCGAGTGATGGTGTGTGATGGTGAGTGATGGGGTATGATGGTGAGTGGCGATGTACGGTGGTGAGCGATGATGCGGGTTGATGTTGTGTGATGTTGTGTGATGGTGAGTGATGGGGTATGATGGTGAGTGGCGATGTACGGTGGTGAGCGATGATGCGGGTTGATGTTGTGTGATGTTGTGTGATGGTGAGTGATGGGGTATGATGGTGAGTGGCGATGTACGGTGGTGAGCGATGATGCGGGTGATGTTGTGTGATGGCGAGCGATGGTGTGGGGGATGATGCTTGATGATGAGCGGTGATGATGAAGGCTACGATTTTGGCACGGAGGTCACGGCGGTGGTCAGGAAAGTCCGTGAAATATTGGAAATGGCTGCAGAAACACATTAGATCAGGCGCTTCCTTTATTTATTTTTGAAAATGCTCTACGTTGGTGGGAGGGAAGTGGAGTGGGGGGTGGAGATAATGGGGCGGGGGAGGGGGTGGGGGGGTGCTAGCACCCCACCTTATTCCGTGAATTCTAGTTTTTTCCACACAAACTGTGCCGCACACGCTCCCGCATGACCTTGCGGGGAGCCTCGGTACCGATAAAGTGATTTTATCTCCGTTTTTATTCTGCTTTCATTTCGATGATGTACGCGTACATCAACGGAGGGAAATCGGATGAAAAAAAGAAAAACCGACGCCGTACACATACGTCATCGGAACGGGAAAGGGTTAACGTGACGGGGCGGGTAAACGGGCGATGTGCGACCGCGCACAGCAGCAACGTGCGAGGCCGGGTGACTTACCCCGCACGTCGTGATGATGGGGTCCTTGAAGATGCCGCAACACAGCTGGCAGCACAGCTTGATGGACGGGGGCTCGGCAAAAACCAGCGGGTCCTGTGGTCACACACACACCACATGTCACATACGCCACACGACAAAAACAAATATCCCCCTGTATAGCCTTAACAAGACTGCTGGGGCAAGTGCTGTTCGCGAGAACCTTTGAAGGCTGGCAAGACACACGAGGGGGTGGGTGGCCAGCACCACGCCCGGCTGCCTTTGTCTCCTAGTAGCGATGTTTATTCACTAGATACTTATTTGGGGCTCTGTACGCATGCGTGCACGCATGTGTGCGCGCGTGTGTGCGCGCGTGTGTGCGTGTGTGTATGCGTGTGTGTACGCGTGTGGTGTGTGTCTCTGTGTGTCTGTGTGTGTCTCTGTGTGTGTCTCTGTGTGTGTGTCTGTGTGTGTGTGTGTCAGTGTGTCTGTGTGTGTGGGTGTCTCTGTGTGTGTGTATGTATCTGTGTGTCTGTGTCTCTGTATGTGCGTGTGTATCTTTGTGTGTGTCTGTGTGTGTGGGGAGCGGTGGTGTAGCGGTCAGCGCGCTGCGCTATGAACCCGGTGACACCGGCTCGATTCCCGCTCACGGCCAACACCGGTGACGATTGTCTGAACCGGTCCCGGCCCTCCCCTGGGTCGACTCAGCCTCAAATGAGTACCTGGTGCGGTGTGTAAGCATTTCCACTAGGGAGACAAAGGCGGTCGGGCTTGGTGTTGGCCACCCACCCCCTCGTGTACCGTTTTGGCCTTCATAGGTGCTCACTAACAGCACTTGCCCCTACAGTCTGTTAAGGCTACACGGGGGATCTTTGTCTTTATCTTTGTACGCGTGTGTGTATGCGTGTGTGTAGGCGTGTGTGTACGGGCGTGAGAGGCAAGGGCCCGTCACCTCCCCCTCACCTCGTCGTCCTCGTCCTCGTGAAGCGAGAAGGTGGAGCGCACGGACATGTTAGACTCGGAGTGCAGCGAGCGCACCGACATGGCGGCCACAGGGCCCGGCTGCACACAAAAAAATGACAAAGACCCCCGCCCCCCCCCCCCCCGCGTAGCCTTTAACACCCTGCCGGGGCAATCGCTGTTAGCGAGCACCTGTTTAGGCCTGCACGCCGCAGGACGGGGTGGGTGGCCAGGACCAAGCCCGGCAACCTTTGTCTCCCCGGTGTGTTCACATCGCCTCAGGTACAGAGTCGACTTAGAGGAGGCCCAGGACCGGTGCAGACATTACTTGCCACCGATATTAGCCATGGCCGGCAAGACGTCGAACTTCATTTGCCCGGTTCGGAGTGCAGTTCCACTAACCACAGCGCTGCAGCTCCACACCACGTGCACAGCAGCAACAACCAAGGCCTCACAAGCATGCCCACACATACATACACACACACGCACGCGTGTGCGTGCACATGTGCCGACAAAAGCCTTAACAGACTTTTGGGGCAAGCGCTCTTGGCGAGCACCTTTGAAGGCCATCGTGCCACACGAGGGGGCAGGTGGCCAGCACCATGCCCGACCGCCTTTGTCTCCCCAGTGTCAATGTTTAAACACCGCACCAGGTACTCATTTGAGGCTGAGTCGGCCTAGGGGAGGCCCAGGACTCGTTAAGATAATTGTCACTGGCATTGGCCATGAGCAGGACTCAAACTTGGGTCGACGGGTTCATAGATCAGTGCCCTAACTGCTGCACCGCCGCTACCCACATTTGCACAAAGATCCCCTGTATAGCCTTTAATAGTGTTGGGGCAGTGCTATCAGCAAGCATCAGCGCACGCACGCACACACACACATACACACACGTGCACAGGTACAGAGAAAACCTAATCAACCACCATCACCGCCACCACGCACCGGCCCTCCCAACTGACGGTCACCGTTCCAGAAATGTCACAACCGCGACACCGGCGGCGCCGACCTTTCCCGGCGAGCGCCCGTCACGCAGAGCTGTCGCGAGCGCGGCTCGCTCATTAAAAGACGGAGAGACGAGAGGCCAAAGAGAGGCGCGGTCACGGAGAGCCGACGACGGGCGGAGGACCGGGGGGTGGGGGGGTTACCTCCTCGCGGTCACCTCTCCTCCTCCCTCTCTGGTAACACCGTCACCGCTGCCGCGGCGACGCCGGAGCGCCACGACGGGAGACGACGCGGAGAGACGCGGTGCGGACGGGCATCGCAAGCACTCGAATCGGAAGCTCACTTACGGCTCACCTCCACTCGACACTTGCCACCTTACAAGCGAAGTACCGCTCCCCTAGTCTCGCACGCTCGCAGCACCACCCTCTTTACGCACACGCTCACGAGCACTCGCTCACCGCTCGCTCACTGCCTCGCTCAATGCCACTCGCCAAGTCGCTCGCTCACTCACTGCCTGTCAATCGCTCGATCACCCATTCACGCTCGCTCGCCTCACCGCTTTCACTTGCTTCTACCTGCTCGCTCGCAAATATTCTCTCGCTCTCTGCCACTTCTCTGCCTTGCTCGCTCGCTCGCTCGCCCACTCACAACCACTCGCGCTCGCCTCGCTCACTCCCCGCTTGCGAGCGTGGACTGGGGAACGTCCACCGAGCGACAAGCCAGAAACGCTCGCTCGCTTCCTGTCACACGCACGCGTGCTTCCTGTTGCTGCCACCCCCCCCACCACCGACAGGGTTGGGGAGAGGGGGGGAAGGAGGGGGGTAGGGAGGAAAGGAGAGAGCGGGGAAGAACCCAAGTCTCTGAGCCCATGGGAGCGGGATGTTAGCCAGGGAGGAACAAAGCACGAATCATGACCTACGGCGTGAGGGACAGCCAAGGACAGCTCCCGGGCCAACACAACCGTTAAGAGAGAGAGACACGTCCCCCCGAGATGCAGCGACGATGCAATAAGACGCCGCTTCGACGGGGTAGACGGTGAGATGTTCCTGCCGTCAGACCCAGCCGTGGGACAGCAGCGACAGACGCGGCGGCGGCGAGACGACAGCGGGGAGAGGGGCGGCCTCTCACCAGCAGGTTGGCGTCATCGTGGATGCTGAACACCGCCGAGCCGGATGACGGCGTGCGCCGGTGCTGCATGTACGAGCTTGTGCCATCCGCTGTGCGCGCACGTGCACACACGCACACACACAGGTGCACACACACGTACACACACGCATACACAAAAAGACAAAGATCCCCCGTATAGCCTGAACAGACTGTAGGGGCAAGTGCTGTTAGCGAGCACCTATGAAGGCCGGAACGGTACACGAGGGGGTGGGTGGCCAGCACCACGCCCGACCGCCTTTGTCTCCCTAGTGGCGATGTTTACACACCGCACCAGGTACTCATTTAAGGCTGAGTCGACCTACGCATACACACGCATACACACACGCATACACACACGTACACACGCATACACACACGTGCACGCACGTATGGGCATGTACGAACTTGTGTGCAGGATGTCACACACAAAGACAAAGATCCCCCGTGTGGCCTCGACAAGTGATGTCAGGTCGATGTCCTTCCCTCGCACTTCCGATGAGCACAGTTGGCTAGGCACGGTGCAAGAGGAGTTCAACGTACGTACATGTGAAGGCCAGCACGGCACACGAAGAGGGTGGGTAGCAAGCACCACGCCCGGCCGCCTTTATCTCCTGAGTGGCGATGTTAACACACTGTACCAGGTACTTATTTGAGGCTGAGTTGATCTAGGGGAAGCCTATGACCTGTTAAGATAATCGTCACAGGTATTCGTGGCCGTGAGCGGGAATCGAACTCGGGTTGCCAGGTTCATAGTGCAACACGCTAACTGCTACACAGCGTCTCACACACATACACACGTATACATAGTGTCTCACACACACACATACACACGTACACACACACACAGCGTCTCACACACACACATACACACGTACACACACACACACACAGCGTCACACACACACACACGTATACACAGCATCTCACACACACACGTATTACACAGCGTCTCACATACACACACGTACACACAGCGTCACACACACACGTATACACAGCGTCTCACACACACAGCGTCTCACACACGAATGACTCCATGGACCGTACCCATCTGTGCGGCGCTGGCTTGTGCCGCGTGTACAGCTGTGCGGTGCTCACCCTTGGTGATGGTGGTGATGGTGGTGTACGCAGGCCCAAACGTTGTCTCCATCCTCGCCTGCCGTACACAACCAGAGCGTTACCCGACAGAGACAAACCAAAAATATCCCCCATATAGCCCGAACAGACATGCTGGGGCAAGTGCTGTTAGCAAGTAGCAGCTATGAAGGCCAGCACGGCACACGAGGAGGTGGGTGGCCAGCACCATACCTGGCCGCCTTTATCTCCCTAGTGGCGATGTTTACACACCGCACCGGGTACTAATCTGAGGCCGAGTCGACCTAGGGGAGGCTTAGGACCGGTTCAGATAATCGTCACTTGGTGTTGGCCGCGTGCAGGAATGGAACTCGGGTCGCCGGGTTCGTAGCGCAGAGCAGCGCTGACCGCTACCACTCTCAACGCCACAGTGGAGCTACAGAGGTACGCGGAGTTAGTACGTAGCGGTACAGGTACGGACACAGGTGCACACAGAAGAACAGGGTACTACACGAGTGTACATAGAAAGCGCAGGGACTACATTCGCTGCGCAGGCTTCTCCTGGCAAGCCAGATGTGTTGTAGCACCTCGACTCTCACGGGAGTGCGGAGTTTCACAACATTTGTGCAATCCACCAACGCTCACTCACCAACCCTCCCACAGTGCTGGATTAGAGGCCACCACTGGCGTAGAAGGTCTAGGTGGGTACTATAGGTGTAGGTGGTACTATAGGACTAGGTGTGTACTATAGGGCGAGGTGGTACTATAGGTCTGGGTGGGTACTATAGGACTAGGTGGTACTATAGGTGTAGGTGGTACTATAGGACTAGGTGGGTACTGTAGGTGTCTGTGGGCCACCCCCCTTCTTTCTCCCGATTCACCTTTACAGAAATATCTACGGATGTTTTTAACCCGTATACAATCATATGTTGGCTAAATAACGATATATTTTACGTTCTCAAATATTGTTCTTAAATTTTGGGACTTGTTTATCTGTTGATTCGGGGCCCCCTTGTGGCCGACTGGGCCCCCTATGCGTCGCATAACGCGACCACATACCCTCCCATAATAAAGGTTTTTTTGGGGTTAGATCACGTAAATATGTGTCGTTAAACCAGCCACCACCTGACACAGCTAATTAGTAAGGTCTGTCAAGTAAACAGAACTAGTACAGCACACTGGCACGTTGGAGAGCAAATCCACAATATTTACAATCGTAAACGGATTGGCATGTTCTGTTTCCCATGCCGGGTGGTGGCGGGTTTAACGACACATTTACATTTACGTGATCTAACCCCAAATTTTAAAAAAGCCTATATAATGGAATGATATTGGTCACAAAAGCCGACGTGTTAAACTACCCCCCCCCCGCCACCCACCACAATAGCTGCACCCCTGGGTTGTAGTTAGTGTAGTTGTGTGTAGCCTGTGTGCTGGAAGGCGGTGGGGGGGGGACTCTCTCTCACCACGCCCGGGGGGGACTGGCTGGCAGGCGAGGTGGTGGTTGGCACGCCGGCGCCGCTCGCGAACGGGCTGTACCAGCTGCCCCGGGCAGAGGCCATCCGCTCGCGGCAGCTGCGACAGCGGCGGCGGCGGCGCTACTGCACGGGCAGCACCGCCTACACTCGGACACACACGGACACACACGGACACGCGACACACTCAGTGGACACCGCACACACTACCACAGCAACCAAAACCCACAAGAGGCAATGGCCATGCGAGCAGGGCACCACGCACAAGAGGAGGCAAGACACATACACACACAACGCGGCACAAATGTCACGCGCGCACATAGGCAGAGTGCAACAACAACAACCGCCATTCGCCACTAAGTGGCGGTGACGTCACCACGACGCTTGTGCCAGGCCAAGTGCACCTTGAGGCCACGTGAAGTGTCGAACGCCCGCTGGCAGGAGGTCACGGGGCAGACCCAGTAGGTGCCATGGGTCGACTGACTGAGATGCCTGCCTCGGTCAGGCAGAGTGCGAACATGTACACACATACACCATGCACAAGAGGCACGTCGCAGAAGACGCACCACACAGCACGCACACAGCAAGCACACAAACAGCACACAAACAGCACACACAACACTTAGCAGCTCACGACACGTGCAACAGGGCACGCAAACGCACAGCGCACACAAAGTACAAAAAGCACACGACACACACACACATCAACGCGCGTTCCTCGCATACTCCGCGCGTCAACAACAACATTGCCAGCGGTTCTCGGCACTGCCGGCTATGGATGAATCATACACAGCCTCGATTGGTGACATCACAACAATAGAAGCAATAACAAGAATGTGAAATTTGCTGCTTCAGACGCTGTCTTTCCGACAGACCTGTTCTTCACCTGAGGACGGCTGCTTGCGTTGTGGCCGAAACGTCGTGAGAATTATTTGATTATGTTTTATTTTTATTATTTTATTATTTCCCTTCTACGTGACTTTACCGAAAGAACCAAGAAGAACAACAAGAATGTGAATCATACCCCGATTTACGTCCCTCGCCCCTTTAAACGTCGCTTCGCAGCTGCGTCGTCGTCACGCTATTAACACCGCGACCCGATTAGCGTCGACTCCACTCCACGCACTTTGACGTCGCCGACGGCATCGTCGTCCGTCCCGTCTCGTTACCCGTCGCCTCTCAGCCATCGCCTCCACCACCTCCTGCCCCGCCAATCGCTTTGATGGACGTCGGTTCGATATCCGCCGTCGCACCTTGCAGGAGCGTTGGTGTGCGGTGCTTTATCTGCAATATTTTGCCGTCTTTTCTTGGATTTTATGTTTGCACGTAGTCAGTCACTTGAAGATGTTTTCTTGTTCACGGTCTTGTTTTGTGTTTGTTGCGGTTGCACCCGATTCAAGAGCCAATTGGCTCATAGGGCTATACCTAATCAATGAAACTGAACCGAAGGAACGCTTCCCAGAGGTCGCAACCGGGTACCCGATACCCGTACCCTACCTGATACCCGGCTACCCGTACCCGGCCGGGTACGGGTACGGGTAGCCGTTTGCGACCCTGGTGCGGCCGGGTACGGGTAGGCCGTGAGTCATTGGTGAGTCACCGTTTGTCACTCATTTCGGGTAGGGTACGGGTACCCGTTTGTGACCCTGGTGCGGCCGGGTACGGGTACGGGTAGGCCGTGAGTCACTGGTGAGTCACTGTTTGTCACTCATTTCGGGTAGGGTACGGGTAAGGAATCAAAACCCGTTTGCGACCTCTGACGCTTCCCCGACGTAAATCGGGGTATCACTGCGACGTGACTCACCAAGGAAAGCCTCGCCGAGTCTCTGGCTCTCTCTCTCTCTCGGCTCCTGCTACGTCTCTGAATGTCTCTGTGAGGAGTTGGTCCTCAACGTTGTGAGAGCGTCTGCCCGCAGGAGCCGGAGTAAGGCTCAGCGTGCTCGCAGTCCCAGCTACACAGCCGTGTTCAGACCCCCCATCTCATGCCCGCCTGGCAGCCCAGGACGGCCTGGACTCCGAGTCTCACCGCTCAAACTACTAAGGGGCCGTCCATAAATGACGTCACGCGACTTTGGACGATTTTTGACCCCCCCCCCCGCTCGTCACATGGCGTCACAAAAAGTCAGTCCCCCCCCCCCTCAAATATGACGCCACAAAGCTCTGCCCCCCCCCTCCAAAACCATATTTCCATTTTGAATATAAAACATGCTTTAAATCGTTTTAAACTATTGTCATTGTAGTGCGTATTTAATGTAGCGCTGCACTCTGATGTTGTAGGAGAAAACTTTATTAAAAAGCCTATTTAGTTAAGTAGAACGTGTTGTCTATATTTATTTAAAGTTGCTCATTTTGATGTGACGTCACATTTCAACCCCCCCCCCTCATCAGTCAC